CACCTTAACCTTAACCTAACTTAACCTTAACCTTAACCTTAACCTTTAACCTTAACCTTAACCTTAACCTTAACCTTAACCTTTAACCTTAACCTTAACCTTAACCTTAACCTTAACCTTAACTTAACCTTAACTTTAACCTTAACCTTAACCTTAACCTTAACCTTAACCTTAACCTTAACCTTAACAACCTTAACTTAACCTTAACCTTAACCTTAACCTTAACCTAACCTAACCTTAACTTAACCTTAACCTTAACCTTAACCTTAACCTTAACCTTAACTTAACCTTAACTTAACCTTAACTTAACCTAACCTATCCGGAATTAACCGGTATCCTCTTTGAGGGAGATAGAGCGGGTCTAGAAAGTGGTACGATTGTACTTGCGATTTGATGATTGGCTGATAAGCCCAGACGGCTTTAATGCGGCTTTAGAACACATGCCGGGCTATCTTTACCCGCGGGCCCCGAACCCTAAGCATGAATGAGTCATGTAATCACCGCTGACTCGGCAATTGGTAATCCCTCGTCTAAGTATAGCACCTACGCGAAAGAACCATGTGATGCGGCCGTCTAGATCTACCGGCCCGGTTACCCCAGTCTAAATTTCGCCCTATCTCGCCTCCCGTCTCAGCGGTTCTCGCCCAAGTAGTAAGCAAACTGGTCTTGTCATCGGTGACGCGTGTAAGTTCCGGACTTGTCCATAATAGGACTCCGTCGGAGTATGCGATTTAAAGCGCCGCTACTCCCGCCAGTTTGCATATATAAACCTCTGAAGATACCACTGATGAGGAATAAAATCCGAAACTGCTCGTCTACCTCCATTGAGGGCAGTCTGGTATCTCTTCATCACGCCTCCAGCCCACCGATCTCACTCAGCCGCTTCGCGGCTTCGTTCGATCGCCACCTTAACCTTAACCTAAATGTAGCACTGCAATTTGTCTAATTTTTTTCACCAAGTCCCATGCCAACTATGGCGCTGCCTGCCGCCCAAAGTCGTTCATGCCGTCTCAGACTTGATGTTCAATGACACGGATCAACCTCAATAGACACCGAACAGCACCCCTCCACGCCACCCTTACTTCGGACAGACTACTTAAAATGTCTGATCATGGAATTCGTGTTTTTCCCGACATTTTAGTGATGTAGACATGGCCACTGAAGTCTTTACAAGGATGAGAGTAGATAGAGACAAAAATTCAGGAACATCCGATATGTATTGCGGAGCCATACCTGGTGTTAACAAAACCAGCGAACACCATATAAATTTCTGAATATACCGTGGTGCGGAAACGTGAAGATTCTCCCAACCGTCTCTAATGAAAGAACTGCTTTCAAGCCACTGGCGATTTCTGCAATCTCACGTACGTCGTCAAGATGGTCTGGAGTTAAGCCTGCGGCCTGTGTGATGGAACTATGCGCTCGAAATTCTCATGTTTGATATGGTAGCGTAGTAGAGCTTGAATCCTGATCGAAGAAGTCTGCCTGTGCACGACTACGTATTTTTCTACAATGCACTACATGCTGTACCGCTTCTTCTTCGTCCTTTACCGCTTTTGCAAATACGACAGCTTGATGAGCGTATGATTGCGTTGGGAATTGACATGGTAAGAGCTCTACACACAGAAATAGCCTTTCAGAACTCAAGTAAAGATTGCCAGAACGTACCACAGATTGTTTTGAATCTGAAAAGAGAAGTCCTTCTTTTTCGAAAGAGCTAAACCTCTGCAGTACTTGCTGAGATTTAGGGTGCCCACGTTTTGTCAATGGTACAGACCGAACTGATGGACTATGAGTTGACGCAGGACGTTTAGTGATCCGTGCATAAGTCCCTTTGGAGAAACGAGATGAGGAGGTATTTTTTTTGGCATGCTGTAGTAATGATGAAACGTATGTGGGGAAAGTTCCAATGCTGGTTCGAACGGTCTGAAGTCAGCAGAAGACCAATATAACAGTCACGTGCCCAGCCCTAACTCGACAGTACGAAAATTTGATCCAGTTCGTGTCTCCCCTGGCAGAGGAATAATGGCGACGTTGTCTACCGTTTGTTGCAGGAGGACTACACGCCCTTTTGCATATTCCAAAATATTGTCTTTGCATTCGACGTCATCGTTTGTTGTCCAAACGCGCAGTTATGCTGTTCCCAAGCGTGCCAATGCCACGAAACAAGGTCGTAAGTATATTTCGCTGAATTGTATAGAAGGTCGAAGTGTTAAGCATGTACATCTCAAGGTCAAGGCTTTCGTGGTGGAGGAACCCAGGGTCGAGATGGAGACCAAGCTCCTGTTAAGAAGGAGAAGAAACTTATGGTAATGTCCACTATGTCTTTCTGTAGGCAATAATGGCCCACTCAAAACTCCCTGTCTATTTCAGACTTTTCAGCCCATGCCAGCCAGTCAGTTATCACACCCTTTGTTCCAGAGCGAGCGTGTTGATGAACTGCAAAAATTGAACGTGTTTCACCCCGTACGCTGTCCGCTTCTACTTTCCATCCATCCGGTCTTGCCTTACTGCTTTTCCGTTGGTTTCCCTAGGAAATAATAACCTGTGGCTCTGAAAGTGAGGCCCTGAGGTTCCCGCACAATGAAGACGATCCTTTTCGTCGATTTGGTTTGCCAAGAAAGATGCTTTTGGAGGTGAGCAGTCGTCCATGTAAGACTGTAGAGCGCAGATTCAAAGATTACTCCTAGTTCCGCCTTTTATCAAGACCATGCACTGTCGTCCGTGGTATAACCATAGATGTTGTTGATAAGCTTGACTCTGCAAGCCGAGCATCAAGTTCAGATACCAGATTGGTTCTTAGTTAGTGCTACATTTTTTCTCTTGCTTTTGAAGTTTTGTTGTTTATACATCCGGGTGTAGCTGGAGCTCCTGGATGTGGAAAGAGTTTCCTACTACTGCAAGCTGTCCAGTATTGTGCATCGAAGGACTGGCTGGTGTTGTATATCCCGCGTGGTATGTGTGGCTGCACTATTCAAGCCTATCTCGGGTCCTTATCCTCCACTGCATTAGGTGTCAGTCTTGTGAACTCGACGACGGCTTATGTGTATGATATCCGCACACAAACTTATCTACAGCCCGTTTTTGCGTACCAGACACTACAACGTTTCTTAACTGTGAATTCTGCGAAGTTACAGTCGCTTTCTACACGGCAGGCAACGGAACTAGAACGACGACCTCCCTTACCTGCTGGGACACCTCTGATAGACCTTATTAACGTTGGTTTGCGGGATCAAATTGTCGCACCGACCGTTTTGACGGCATTGATGAACGAGCTTGGACAACAAACAACGTTAGTCGTCTCGAGTTACGTGACACATACAGTAACCTAGACAATATTTTACAGGCATCCAGTATTACTTGCTGTCGATGATTTCCAAGCTCTTTTCTGCAAAAGCACTTATCGTGATCCTCACTTTTCTCGTATCAAATCATATCATCTTTCTATGCCCCGTTTGTTCCTCGAGTATGCAAGTGGTAAAAGGTCATTTGTAAGTGCTCCCTCCCTACCCCGCCCTTTATCAAAAAAGCTGATGGCAAAGTTGCATTTCCGTCTTTCAGGCTCGCGGTGCTTTCATGGGAGCTCTTTCTTCCACGGATACAACTTTCAAACTTCCGCTTGAACTTCGGGAAGCCTTGGGATTACCTCATGACCAACCATCGGGACCATACATCAAGCGTTCGGAAGCTCTCACTCATTATGCACGAGGTCTCAAGGCCTTGGCAGTCCCTGATATGCTTACTGTCAGCGAGGCCGCGTCACTGTTTGAGATATGGATGAAAGATAAAGCCTTAACGTCTGGTGAATTTTTTTTTGTCCCAACCCTAATTGAAGCTAATGCGATCGTATCCCCTCCCTCAGCCGCACATGATGAATCATTCTTGGCGAAATATAGTGAAGCCAGCGGGAATGCTCGGAACTTTGTGTGGAAAGGTTTGCTATCAACTCTTGCGATGTAACTTACATAGTTAGATAATATTTCTCCATGTGATGGTATAAAATCAGTACATATACACTACAGATTTGAAAGGAATCTCGATCACGTGCTTCGACGCGTCCCTTGTTCACCTTTTGTCACACTCCTCCTCGTCACATTCAATTTCCGTAATGTCGCGTTTACCACGGCTACAGATTCAAACCTCTTCTCCTGACCGTTACTATTGCCCGCCCTCGTCGTCAGCGACGTCTTTGCAGCCCCCGTCATCGCTGTGTCCCACGATGAACTCGAATAAACGCAAACTGACAGTCGACGAGGACCTCGAAGCTCAAGACCAGCCACGGAAGCTTCCCGCAATTGGGAGCAGTCTCAGCCAACGTCCTCTTGCAACGTCCCGCACCGTCCTCAATCGCCCAGCATCAGTGAAACCTCCTTCAGGTCCTCCGCGGCTGACAAAGCCAGATCCACCAAAGCTATCTACATCTACGACGCGGAGAACAGCTCGCGCGACGAGCGCACCTCCAAAGCAAACCAGCCTTGTAACTGGTGCTGCTCGTCCAACGGGACGAGTAGTGTCAGGCTCTAGCTCTCTAAGGTCCATAAATGGGCCAGATGACAAGCAGTTTCGTGATCTTCAAAACCAGGTCAAATCCATCCAGTCCGCTCAAGCAGCTGACTCGGCAAAGCTGGCGCAAGATATGGAGGCAGAGCGCGCAAAAGTGGCAGAACTGCAAGCCAATCATCGTGCGATTTCTCTCGAGCTGGCTTCTGCGCGCAGCCAGGAACTAAATCAAAGAAGAGAGCTTGTCAGTGCCAGCGATGAATTGAATAGCATAAAGATGAAACATTCGAGGGAAATCATGGAGCTCGAGATGGATATCAATAAGCGTGATAGGCAGATCAGGGAACTTAATGAAGACCTGCGCATTGCTCGAGGTGATCTAGAAAGAGAACGAGAATCTGTCTCATCTCTCAAATCTACGCTATCCCACCAATCCACCGCTCATCTTAGCCTGACTACTCAAGTCAGTGCCTTGAATGCCCAGATTGCTGCTGTTCAGTCCCAGCTCGATGTTGCTACATCCACAACCTCTCAGCGTACTTTAGATCTCGGGTCTGCACAAAAACGTATTACGGAGCTGGAACAAGATGCCCGCCAATGCGAAAGCATTCGCAGAAAGCTGCATAACATGGTACAGGAGCTGAAGGGAAACATACGCGTTTTTTGTCGTGTTCGACCTGTCCTTCCATCAGACTCTTTGTCGTCTGGCCTAATGCGATCGTGGCCCTCCGACGGGTCATCTAAAAGTGCAAGCCCGACACCCGACGATGGAAAGCTTTCAGGCGACTCAGCTGCTGATATATCATATCCGGACCGAAGGGATCATAAAGAAATTGTTCTATATTCATCTAGCTCTAGTGCTATGGGCCAGGAGAGAAAAGAGGTGTATAACTTTAACTTTGATCGAGTGAGTACTTCTAATGAAACTTACCGCTGCATTTCTAATAGATCATAGGTTTTTGAACCAGAGTCTACCCAAGCTGATGTTTTTGAGGAGATTTCTCAGCTAGCCCAGAGTTGCACGGACGGCTACAATGTTTGTATCTTTGCCTATGGTCAAACGGGGTCCGGCAAATCTCATACAATGGAAGGAGGATCAGTGAGTATGTTACTACTCAATCCCTTCGAAGCTAGCTAACTATTTCTTGGAGACTAATACCACTTCGGGGATGATTCCTCGCGCTGTCGAACAAGTTTTTAGAGTTACAGAAGAACTGAAGACCAAAGGCTGGGAGTACACAATGGAAGGTCAATTTTTGGAAATTGTGAGTGCTTAATGATTAATTAGAGTTATCGAGCTAAATTGTTTCACATTAGTATAATGAGGCTATCAATGATTTACTCGGAAAAGGTGAATTCGATAAGAAAAAACACGAGATCAAACACGACAAAAATGGGACCCGTGTTACAGACACTAACGTCGTTTCCCTTCGTTCACCTAACGAAGTCCGCTCTATTCTTGCTCTAGCCAATTCGCGGCGCACAGTAGCTGCGACGTTGATGAATGAAAGATCGTCGCGCTCGCACTCTGTGTTTACCCTACGGATATCCGGCTCAAACCAGCATACAGGAGAGCAGTGTGAAGGATGTTTAAATTTGGTGGACCTTGCGGGTAGCGAGAGGCTGAATTCGAGCGGCGCTGCTGGTGACAAGGAAAGACTAAAGGAAACACAGAGTATAAACAAAAGCCTCAGCGCCCTGGGAGATGTAATAGCAGCGCTTGGAGAAAAGGGGGAGAAAGGAGAGAAGCATATTCCGTATAGAAATTCTAAGGTGCATGGTCTGTCTCGAGTGTATTAAAGGAGGCTGACGGTCCGTGTTGTCAGCTTACATACCTCTTGCAGAACTCGCTGAGTGGAAATTCCAAGACACTAGTAAGTGGTCACCAAAATGTTTTTTCCGTTTAAGCTGACTCGTGTCTCCAGATGATTCTGAACCTTTCACCTCTGGCAGCCCATTTGAATGAGTCTCTGACTTCGTTACGATTTGCGACCAAGGTAATATCTTGTCACGGGGTTACTTCGCACATATTTGCTAATACAGCCTGCTAGGTTAATAATACGACCATTGGAACTGCTAAGAAGCAACTGCGTGCATCTAGTTGATCTTTGATAATAATTGGACAGGTGCTGTCGAGCTGTCGTATTTTACACCCCTACATTCTGTAGCTGGGTTGAGACAGGTTTTCTTGTGACTACTTTTCACTATGTTTTAACATGTTTTCAAATTTGCATTGTGCTACGCGAGCCTAGTATAATATAGGCTATAAGATACAGTGTGTAGTCGCCTTAAATACGATTGTCAAGTAGGCTCATCACTTTTCACTGAGGATCTGTCTTTCTGCTTGAGGGATTCCTTTTTTACTTCACTTGACCACTTGAAAAAATTACACCGGTATTGGTGATCTACCTCTTCACGTAATCTTTCTGCTTTGCCCTTATCGTACCCTGGGCCTACAGGGCTAAGATCATTCGCGACATAAGTGATCTTGACCACAAAAAATCAGGGAGACAAACAAACCGAGAACAAATGAAGAAGTTCTTTCCCTTGTTTGGACCAGGCTTATGAACGGTAAACTCTTTAGCAGGCTCGCCATGGACCAAGCATTTCGGTGGCTGAACTGGAGCAAGGAGCTGGGACCATGCAGTCTTGTTGTGTGAGGAAGACGAGGTAGCAGACGCACAGCTCTGAGATACGATCTTCTCCTGCGAGTTGGACAGCTCGAGAGCCATGCGATAGTCGGAGGCGATATAACCATCAGGGTTCGTGTCTGCATGGAGTATGACCAAAACATCTTCCATACGTGACACGCTAGGAGTATGAGGTAGCGTCTGAGACGCTGAAGGCTGAGAGAAAAACGTGGACAATGACGTTTGTCCTTTCTTAACCTTCTTAGAAGCCTTTCTCATGGACTCACGAGGCTCTGTCAATAATTTTCGCTTTTGCGACGGAGAAGGAGCACTGGTCTGTTTCGATGAGTAAGGAGGCTGAGATGAAGAAGTAGAAGAGGCCCCAGAGGTATTAGGAAGTCGAACAGGAGTGACCTGCAAGGTCGTTGAGACTTCGGCAGGCAGTGTAACAGAAGGACCTGTCACTACTGGTGTTAATTCTGCGGGAGACGGGGATGCACCGCTAGGCAATGCCCCTCCTTTCTTGCTAAAAAAGGTAGACAGCAAAGTCTGCTTTCCAGAGAACTCTTCCCAGTACTTAGCGGCTATGCGAGGAGGCTCTCTTTTCTCTCCGTTCATCTGCATGACATCCCGAAGGTGGAGCTTGACACCAGAGTCCAGCGTGATGCTATCATGCAGGTCGATATAGATCGGACAGTGATCCGAGCCTTTGAGTGAGGGCTGAATGTCACCGTGTTTCACCCATGGGACTAAACCGTGAGTTACAAGGATGTAGTCCACACGTGTACCATAATTGGTTTCCCGCGCTGATATCTTCGTATTCCAGCCTGATTTCATATTCTAATTAGTCGCGGAGCGATACAATCGAAGCGGAGTAAGCCTCGTACATGTGTACATCCCTTTCCTGTCTGGCCAAAATCGCCGCACGATATCAATCATGTGTCCAGTTGGATCGAGCCACGAATGAAACCACGCTCTAGCAGGATGTTCGTGGAAATAAGACGCGTTACTCGCGAGATTGCCGTCGCAGTGATCCAAGGGCGTGGCACAGATATTGATGTCACCTACGACCAATACCTCACGACCCTCCTCCATCAGCCCGCGAACGCGTTCCTGTAACATATAATGATAATTCATTTTAAAGGGCAGTCGTGCGTCCGATGTCTCGTTGGGACAGTATGTGTTGATGAGGACAAAGAGCCCAAAGTCGAGTACAATTGCGCGTCCTTCCGCGTCAAGAACTGATAAGTCGGAAGGCGTGTTTCCCAGCTCGTCAGGCAATAGCTTCATTTCATGAGAACATGGATACGACTTAGATATCTGCTCGTCTGCGGATAATTGTGGCTTTGGCTGAATTTTCCCGGAAAGTCCTTCTTCGCCTTTGAGTGGAACAGCCGTTCGTGCATCTGCGTATACACCTACACCACTATATCCTCCTTTGTTGATAGGGAACGAGAAGAAAGAAGCATAGGTGTCTGGCACTGCAACATCACGCTCGATAGCGCTGCGCGTTATCTTCATTTCTGCATTGCGTGTATCTGCCCGAGTGTATTATGGGTATGAGGACCGAGCGCACCTTGAAAACATATGATATCGGCCTGGAGCTGTTCTAATATTGCCTGGCATGATTTGTACGAATTCCAGCTGTTGAATGGTGTAGACAGATCTTGAAACGAGAAAGGGGGCACTTACGGGTGGTATTGTGGTAGTGTCCTAATGCCATTCTAAAACGCGTTTTCGATGATTGAATACATGTGTACGATTTTCCTCCCCAATACTCACAATGTTCCAGGAGAGTATCCGCATAGAATATCACACCTGCGCTCTCCGCGGGTGAGCTTTTCCAGTTGTAAGGGGATGAGAAGAACAAGGGTATATCATGATGTTACTTTGCGACTCGCATTTGACATGTTACGTGATCAGGTGGTCACGGTATACGCAACTTGAACTTGAATAGCAGATCAAAAGTTGTCGCCGACAATCACTTCACTTACGAGTAGACTTTGCAAACTCAAAGTACTAAGTGGTAGCATCAAATCCTCAAGCAAACCGCTGCCAGAAATAACATGAAATAATATTATTCTGTGGATGTTACTGTCATGATTACGGTCTGCCCTGGTTGTTCTGATGAGGATCATGATACATTCCAAGCCCATATAGTTAGTGCAGTGAATATGGTATCTGGAACCTATGTTTGTATAGTTATAGGGACTGATAATGAAACCGTTAGCCGGTTCAACGTTTAACAGGAGCAAATATCGGCAAATGTAGTGATATTATGCATCTTCAAGTTGTATGAGGTTTGTTAAATCTAGTGCAGGGGGGAGCATCGGTCGGATGTAAGGGGAGACTGCGCAACGACCTGCTCGTAAAAGCAGATAGTACCGATTTTAGATCATCCCAAAATACTGGTCTCAAGACTGCATCACGGACGATATGACACACGTGAGTTGAGGATATTAAGTGGTAGAGTTTCGGGTCTAGCCGATGGATGTCATGGATCTTCCTATGTTCTGGAGAGAATGTTCCAAATGAACGTCATAGGCCTTTCCGAATCATCGCCACGGATAGGGTTTTTCCTGCGCTTCTTTGTGAGCTTTGCGTTGGGAAAATTGGATTTTGACCCAGTGATTTAGGTTTAAAAGGAGGTCGATCGATTGATTCGGTCTAAAACAGTGCACAGCTGCGCTGGTTAACTGAAGCTCAGTATCTGCTTTCTCACTAAACGAGGTGGGTCCAGGAGGAAGGCGTACGGGGTAGGCACATGAGGTGATCGCGACGCACTGAAGGCATGCTGATGACGATGCAAAGTGCACTGGCAACAGCACGAAATATAAGCCTAGTGGGGATCCATATGTCTGGCACGATCATGATCTTCTTCAACGTTAGTCTCCGCAGATGGGACGTGGCATAGGAACTGCGACCAAGGGTTATTGATATCTTCAGATTCGTTCATGTTGACCTGAGTGCTCGCATGAAAAGAAAGAGCGGTAGCTTAAGTCAATGAAGTAGGATGAAACAAGAACCTGTAAACTTGTTTCCGACCTTTGGTAGGGATTTTGGTAGTAGCATTCAACATCGAAGACGCACGGTTTGGGAGTGGATGGCCGACCCCGCATCTGGCAGCTTCTGCCCCGGGTCAACACAGTGATGGCTGTAGTGGAGAGCAAGGTTCAGGAATACTCGGCCGCCTCACCTAACAGAATTGCACTGCACACCCTGGTCCTCATGGCCGCCTGTACGCACCTTTCCCACAGTTATACTCCGCCACTGAGCGCTGAGCGTCAATCATTAATCTGAATCACTACTTTCACTTCTTACAGACTGGCAACAACAGCAATTGGAGCTCAAAAATTAGTCTCCAACGACGCGCAAGCTGCAGGGCCGCTTTCTGCTAAAATGCCTTCATACCATTTTTTTTTCATTTCACCACCTAGTAAGTCTAGCGAATTTGAAACATAAAAACCAAACAACTTCGCAGCTGATTCTCCTGCAACACAGCTCAAGCGTGTCGTCGTCTTCCGATCTCAATACTGGTTCCAATATTCTCGATGTGGAATTCAAGTAATTCAGCCTAACTCCGCAGTTATGTAACATTTCCTCTTCTGATTATCTTTTCATTTTAGTTTTGACAGTTTGCAAAGACCCATCCGTGAAGTTTGATCCCGCAGGCAAGGGGCCATAACATACTCCTTAGAGACGTTTGTGTCGAGTCCTTAACGTCTCCCCAGTAATGAATCATTGCGTCTTTCACCACAAACACGCTGGTGATATACTGCAATGAAGTACCGCCCATCCTTGGAAGACCTTGGCATTCAGGATACCTCCTACATCTCATTGCGACCAACGACTTCCCGTAATCTACTTTGGGATGGCAAGGTGATTGGATGGCTAGACTACCCCTAATCTGCACTAATTCACCATTTCTATAACTTTTGAGCGTAGGAAATTTCTGCTGGTCTTTGCGACCGTGGATCACAGGTCCAATGAAACACCGGCATAGTTGACCATGTCTACGCATCAAAATACACCTTCCCCCCCGCTTGGGGCTTAGGATAAGTAATGTGCTGAAAGCCACCCGATAAGCATATCGTAATGCTCTCCATATTTAGCCCACTTTGTTTTCTACGTATATACTCGTGAGTTGTGTTTTTGTGTTATGAATACTGATGTTCTCGTGTTCGCTTTGTACCAGTGTTTTTATCTCTCAAGAGACTCTGCACGATCCGTCTTACGGCGGGCTTATCAATGTCTCTTCTTTCGCTGTTGTATAAATATACCATGCTCCTGGCTATTAGGATATGCTGACGGAAGTTCAGATATCTTTGGGACCGTGTGTAGTCCTGCTTTTTGTTGCGTAGTAAACTGTAACCTTAATTTCCAGCACCCAAGCAATACGACTGGTGCCAGTATACATTTCCTGGTAAGGGCCAACGGCTGGTTTTTTGTAGATACAATCAGCCTCATAGACATATAGTGGTTTGTGTATATTGTTTAGTTCATTGCATATATATATATATAGCGTTGCACGAAATATAACCGATCCTAGTAATTACGTAATCACGAACTTCAAGTTTGAGGCTGCGACTTGAACGTTTTCGTGGTGGTCCGAGTTGCTGCCTGAAGTGGGGGTCGTCAACATTATGTCTTAATGCTTTGAATTTTGGGGCATTTTATCCGTTTAGTTGGGATGCATGTCGATCTTTCTCTACCACACCATGCCGGTAAGCAAAAATACAGTTTGCACCAGAGTCGTCCGCAACGCTAGCAAAACACACCAGAATTTAGCTTTCAAATTTATTATGTTGAATGATTGGACAGCAACAGTAATTGTCACCTTTGCTATATCCCCCTATCAATTTATTTCACCTTTGAATGTGATCCCACCTTTTCCAGCCTACCTACACGCAAAACTAGTTGCTCTGGACTACAATTCCAAACGCTTTGTATCGCTCTAACCAAGCCTAATCCAAGGTCGAGTTCCAATACATTCAAGGAGTTGTCCCAATCATCGCAAGCAAAAGGTGCCAATATATTGTAGGTAATTGCAGCACCGGTGAACATGACCAAGACACTGCAGCCATGTATGGAGTCCTACGTCGTAATAATGTCGATAAGAACATCAACGCATGATTCCTACAACTACGGAACCCGACCTGACGGTGGTTAATAATCAGCCAACATAAAGGAATCAGAAACAATGAAAATGTGCTGTGCTTTCTAAACTCCGAGTAATCTCGGTCGTTTGACACTATTTCGTTACTGAGCGGAATCTTTGTTGGCTTTGAGTGGGGATCATCTTCCCCGATGATTGAAGTTTTCGTATGCCATGTCAATGGGGCTGTTGGCCTTTTATGTCTGATCTTTCGAAAGGACGACATAGAGACTGGGTTCTCCTCAATTATGAAGGTGGATCCCATATAATGACCGTTTTCTACGCCTTGTTGATTTCGTGTTGTGATGGACGAACGCAGTGCATATTACTAGCTCTCGGATGCTCACCTCGTGCCTACCAATGTACCCGACCATAATGTGGATGAACTATACGGCGAAGCTCCACAAGCGTCCATTTCTCCTCTTCCCGTTCTTCTCAGCCACCAAATACGTCAAGTGGGCCATGAGGTAATCCATATTTACCGTATTTGAGATCTTTACAAGGCCTTACCAACTGTTTCGGCAAGATTTATCGGGATTTCGCTCCCGTACCTATCGTGAACGTGGGTTTTAGTGGCTCCAAGAGGAGTACAGCGTTGATCTTGGCCTTCACTGATACATTTCCCTGTCATAGAGTTAAAAGTAGTGTTCATTTACTTTCGAGCCTGAGAGCATTATCATAAATCGCGGACAGCGAGAACTTTTTAAACTCAGCTAATCAAAGATTTCTCAGCACCTCGAACAATATCATCACTTTCTACGCACACTTAGGTTGGCATTTGCTACTGAGATAATCTTGCTTGAATTTCCCTTCTGCTTTCATTAAATTTTCTGTCTCGCTTCAAAAATCGAAAGCTAGCGTATATCCTATAGTGAGGACAATTAATTTACGACGAGGCAGATGTCAACACGCCATACCCACGACGTTTCCACTTTTTGATCGGACAAGTCGAAATCGATTAGTATGGAGCCATAGTGCCCACAACTGTCGTGGACAACGCTCCTCTGCAGATATCTAGTTATAACATAAAACCCCTCAACGAAACGGCGGGCTATCTGCAAATAACAAAGTCATTCCTTGGAGCCATTTACAAAACATCAACGGAAGGATACTTCCTCTGTTATCTGTGAACGGTGGACAGCAATGCCATATAACTCCTACTTTTGTCTACGCTGAAAACGCGTCAAATGATTAGGTTATCTCCATTTCAACGTCCTTGAGCCCACGGTGATGCCTGCATTTTGGCCATGACAAAAGTCTACGCAGTGGACCCGTCTTTTCGTCGTAATTGTCAAGGCAAGTTCTATTAATCGTACTGAGTTACGATTAAATTCACTTCCGTGGTAGCCTTGTTCTAGTCTTACAGGGTCAGGTAGGGAAGGTTCATACCGACTTGAATGTCCAACTGTAGGAGCTACTTGTAGTTGGCTCTGACCTTTTGATTATGGGTTACAGCACGAGCGCAGATGACGTATCAAAATTTCAAGTCACGGTTTGCCTTGGTTTGTGTTTGATTCGAAAGCAGTCGACGACGAGGTCAACCAGGCTGTCACCAGCAGCGGAAAGACGCTAATGATAATATGGACTCAAGTATCTGTGGGCTCGCAAATACTATGGCAGTTCGTTTCGTTTGTTGGTGTGTGATGCAGATTACGTAAGTAGGATAGTCTTTCAAATTTGGGACGACTCGAAAAATGAATCTCTTACCCTACGTTTTGAAGGCTCGGGTATCTTGTCAAATGCCTTATCGCGTGCTTCTCTCGAATTCAAGAATAGAAGGAAGGAATCGGTGTGCCATTACGCCAGAGCGACATTCCACCGTCAACTGACCGACGTCGCAGGATCAAAACTCCAACCGTTCACGACACTACACCTTTATTCCGTAGTGTGAGCTATGTTGTTCATATCCTACTATCGGGATCCTCAGGCCCTAACAAACCCAATGCCCGCTTAATCATTGCTTTGAGGTTACAAGAACCCTTCACTCAATTAGGCCGCGGGATTCCTAAATAATCGTCGTATGACAGGCGCAGTGACACGCCACTATTTGCATTTGCTCTCTCAGAGCTTCAAGCCAAATCATTGACAGACCTGGTTATTCCTCGCTCATGAATCCGTGCTCGCTCATATATCCGTGGTTATGCTAGTAACGTTGCACACGGTCGCCAATTCTCGCAATTATTGTGACTTCCTCGCCGGTCTTGCCTTGCATGATCCCTACATGCTTTTGCGCCAATCAAGATTTTTGGGTTCCATAGGCCACGCCCTTTTTAATAGGATTTATACTGGTGCGGTTAATAAATCGCAAAATCTCCCACAGTTCCTACAAAATAAACTGACCTCATCCTCGGCCGCCCCGCTAGGAAGTTTTGTAGTGGTGTTACGAATATTAACTATAGAACGTGAACTATCTCGCCCGCTGCGCCATAATATCTTAGTCCCTCGGTCCAGTTGACAAAGTCCGGTTCTAACTTAAAAGCAGTCTGTGACGCTGAAGGCAGTATTTGCAGTGTGGCTCGACCTGCCATGATGGGAATTGCAAGAGTCTCATCGTCGTTACCGAACCGTGAGGCTGCTATCCTCATTGAACGTTTGTGTGTCCTTTTACATCTACTTTTTCTCTCAATTAACGTCTCTTTCACCTCTTAATGGTACGTACTACTATTATTGCGTACAACGTTCAACGAGACCGTAGGTATTGTCTATGTTATTGTTTGTATAATTATTTGTGTGTAGCCCCTTCACCAGGAGCCCAACAGCCATATTCGAGCAGTACCAGTACAGTGGTATTATTTCTATCTTTACTCAGTTTTCCGCGCTCTGCGCTGTGGTGAATCATCTTTGTTGATTCTTTACAAGCATCAATGATTCGGACGATATGTATTTTTAGATTTGTCTTAAAGTGCAGGTAGGTGGCCTCGAGCCCTTCGCCCATGAATCCGATTCGCTGATATGACCCATGCCGACATACAGCACTGCTCCTCATATTTTCCGCGTCTCTCATCTCAAGGCAATCAGGGATGCGAAGGACCGATTCCACCGTCTTATCAACAGTGCCAGTTGCATCCAATGGGCAAACCGTGGAGTACGGGAGTAACAATACAAATACCATTATTCCTCCAATCTTTGTGTCACATCACCGTGCCGAGAGTTTGGACTCGCAGCAACCAATACTGGCAGTTCTCATACCGCTTGAGGAAAGAGGGGTTTAATGGTTCGATTTTGCAATACGTCAATAGCGTATCACTGCTAGTTCCCTGGCGTTGACAAAACCAATCTATCAGTGGGTGCCACATTAATATTGATCGGGTTTTTTCACTTATGCACCTTGTAAGCTGGCTTAGGCTACACCATCTGGTGTAAGCATCAGTACGCTTGAGTTGCGTAAAATGGGATAAAATGGGGTTGCGAGCGATATACTACGCTCGATGAAATGGTCGTAAAGTCAGTCTAGACGGTGAACATGATTAAGACTTTTGCGCTGAGTGAGAAAAAAGGAACTCTATGTCCATGTAAACGGGCCGGGATGAGAGATTATGCATTATGATGGACCCTGCAAATTATGAAAAGCATACGCGCGTGAGTAGATTTACGAAAAAAATGAAGAACGTATGTTAACGGTGAGGCCGCATGATTAGAGATTGAATACGTGATTCACCCACCAGCCTCGGCGCCTATGGCATGAGTACACTACAACGTGCTAGAATCAGAATCTCACACGTTGCCCGTGCACGCTCGAAGATAACGGGATTTCTAGCTACAGCTCCTCTCTTGATTTGGTAGCACCGACAAGCTCGGATAAAAAACACATTGCCGGCGGCGACGAGATATAGTTCCAACGTACGATATCAACAGTTGCCCAAACAGAGAAAATACATCCCCGTGCGCCGCATCTATGGCAATGCAAAGATAGGAACCTAGGTAGCATCGAAAAGTGATTTCAACACTAACTCGCTGGTGCACTAATAGACTCGAGGCAACGAGATGTACCCATTGCCTGCTGCCGTATACACGGAAAGGTCCAGGGAAGATTGACTAGAAGAGTCAGGCGCCGCAGTGGTACTTTGGCTGCAAGGGGACTACGATAACAGAATTACCGGATTTACGAAGCCTTACGCGATTTCTTACTTTGATGCGAGACCAGATGAGTTTTTGAATTTGAAAAAAGCTCTTCTAGTATTTGGGCCCCTAGGTGATCCGTGCGCCACTAGTGCTGCAAAGGCGCTTTGGTAGTCCTTTGAGATATAACCTGGACATCAGATATAAAGAGAGGGCGATAATATCAGCTTGGAAGATGCTCCGCGCATCCGTGGGCCTAAATAGGGGCCTGGCACACTCGACAAGAGTGCGGATAGATGGTCTGGTTTGAGACCTGAGTCGAGCGTGCAAGAATGGTGTGCATCATTGCCAGACACGGCGAGCAAACCGAGTATCCTGCAGCCTGCTACATGACTTGTGAGAGGCGACACAATCTTGTATGGGTATTGCGACATTGAACACGATGGATGATATTCCCGAGGAGAACGTGCAGACCTGTGCGGATTATGGCAAGATGTAGGTCGTGTGGTCAGGATGGGCTTCTGTAAGATAGGTGCAAAGCTCATCCTAATCAAGGTTCTTCTATACCTACAGGGAACGCTTCTTTGAGACCACTGTAGGTGAAGAGATTGTGCTTCTCGGAGGCAGATGGGACGGCACACGCCGTCAGGCTGTGCATGCCCAGCTCACCTTTACGTCGTGATGCGTTGAGTGCCGTGTGTAATCTGTGCTGCAGTCGTCGCAGCAATAAGCACGAAGGTGCATCCTGAAAATTGCAGCGGTTCCGGTCAGGTGGACTTGAGTGTTCTGAAGTAAGTACTTAAGAGAACCGCCACAGCTCCAACATGACATTGAGGCTGAATGCGATCGGCATCGATCGGCATCGAGCGGAATTCACGTTCAATGTTCTCCTGAGTTCAGCCACAGCTATGCACCTTATGTTCCATCCAGCCTACAGCTGGAAATCATCTGGCTCGGAAAGCTGCTGCAACTTCCTGCTTTGCTTTCTGCACTATCCCCGTTCTCGTAGCCCCTAATTTAAATACTCGTTTTACCGTGGAATTATTCTCTCATTTTGTTGGTGATCCAGTGGTCTAGTCACGGTTTACATTGCCAACCTGGACCCGGATGCGTAAAACGGTACTTGTTTTGTGCTGCATGCGTTTGCGTCGTGGCAGATACGTCCGCAATCTAGGCCTCTCGCTTTCTCGACCCTGTCCTTCCATTCGCAATGGTATTCAATGACTGGACGCTGCTACATACTGTCATTGCACGTACTATGAGGTATTTCGTAGACGAGGCACGCATATCCTGGTTTCCAGATTCCATATCTCATAAACATGGGTTCGCTGCTTACTCAAAAGCCTCGAGGCCATCACACGGCACTCCAAGTACCCGAAGTGATCGTAGGCTAACGCGAACTTAGATGCCGCGTCCACCCCGATGTAAAATGGATTTCATAACAGTCGAATGTGATGGCTGCCTCGCACTTCGTGTACTTAAAGCTCTGTTCCTTTCCGTGTTCAAGTTTGCCTTCTAGAACCCACTTTTGTTAGAACCTGGCACTTGGTCGATTTTCCAGCACTTGACAGTGCTAACAACTCACTTGCTCGGCATTGACTGTCTGTGGCTTTTCATCCTTAACCCCCTGAGGGCATCATTGTCGCTGCTGCGACAGCATGTTTCGTATGTCGACTTTAATTCCTTATCTTCCTTCGTTCTCTTCTCACCTTCATCTGCGTATGCTACTCGTTCAGGTACTGGGCCATCCGTTACTACTCGTAATATCCATGATGTCGCATCATCCCTCCCAGGGCTATCAAGTTCAATATCTCGTTCAGAAAATCCGTGGCTGGACAGTCGACGAAAACAGACGTTGCTTAACCTTCTTGACATTATAACGGAGTTGAATCATGACGGGGCTTTATCCCCCGAAAACGGTGAGCTGCTTTTAGTCGCGAAGAATACAGTGGAGCTGAAAAGCGCCTTTCAGATGGTGTTCAGGTTCCTTCCTTCGAGGATGGCAGAGACGCTCGTGAGTAATTTCTCATCTATTGATGACAATGTAACGAAAATCTGTATACAGCTACTGTTGATGAACGTCTTCAGATCGCAGGAGCAGAGACGTTCAATAAATTCGAGAAGTATGATGCTTATTTCTTGTCAGCTTGTTACTGCTCATACTCTTGACGCTCTTTTTTTTCAGAAGAATAGAGAACTTGGATAAGGAGGTGCATTCTGAATCTGTGCAAGTTATCGAGTTTATATTGATTTGGCAATAGCTTAGAAATTTCGCAAACGCTGCGCGTCAACTTGGAAGTTCGGTTGGAATACTATCATCAGCGTTTCGGCTACGTGAACGTTTGACCAAGATTCTGTACTTGTTCCGATTCAATGCAGCATGCCTATTTCCTAGAAAGGTCCAACGTCAATCCAAAGAATCCCTCATCAACCCAAACCTGATGGACCGCCGAAGAAAAGCTACTAGGCGTACTTCTCCGCCACTGTCTGGCAAGTTGATGAGCGACGAAGCTTTGGAACCAGAGAAATTTCCAGAACAATTCGAAAAATTTGCCGCGGACGTTGCAACATTTCTAAACTGTTTAAACGAATTCCCCGAGTTCACGGATGAGGCTGTCAACGCTTCCATGAGATCATTTGAAGGCGATTTGAAGGTGGGCTTGTGTATTAGCTGTTGTATTCCTAGTAACTGATTTTTTGCGCAGTATTGGTCATGCTGTCTCAAGGAGTACAAATGTAAGTTCTCGAGCTATATGCTGTTTTAGATGACAACTCATACCACTCCTATCCTGCCCTGACCTCAGCTCAGTTCCGCTTATCGGCTGTGCAAAGATACATCCATGACCTCACCTCAGAAATAGGCGACCACATCGACAATATCACTGTTACGCTGTCAATGTTCATCGAAATCGGTGAGTTTCTTTCTTAACTTAGGATTGCCGGTCGTCATTGAGTGTCTCGAGCAGGCGTTCCTACAATACGTTTTGCTCAGCAACATGCTGCTGCCAATCTATTAAACTTATCTACAGTAGCCACCTTCTTCTCAGCAGTCACAGCTACGACATTGCAATTTTCTTATGGTACCACAGGGAGTCTTTTGGCTGATACTGTCAACGCTTTTTGGTTCTCCTCACTTGTATTTAGTATCGCCGCAGCGGTCAATAGTCTCCTTGGACTAACGTGGAAGCAAGCGATGTAGTACGTATATTGGTGATTCTTTCACACTGACATTTAATGGAACTGGTGTCACCTAGTCGTTCACCTGGTCACCGTGTCCCGTGGTGGGTGCTAATCTGGATCAAACGCTCCCCACTTGTCTTCCTTGTTATATCTGTGGCTTGTTTCTCGGCAGGACTCATGCTTTTCACTTATTCGAGCAATCAAGTAATGTAGACCTATGGTTTCTCAGTTGTTTGTACTGATGTTCTTTGTAGGGCCGAGTCACAAACACAATCACTACCCTATTCACCGCTGTGACGTCGTTCGGTTTGGCCGCTGTTTCGGCTTGGTTTGCGTCTGAGCGGTGGACATTTGTCCATCATAGAGGTCATATGTGGCTGGAGGATGTAATTCTTAACGCAACCAATCGGCTTTTCGAACTTCAAGCAGTGGTCAACATCAAGAAAGCTTTAAATTGGGGGCAGCATCGCGTGTGCGCCGCCGGAAGCTCTCTGAAGCAGTTGCCTTCAAAAGCAGCAAGTTTGTTGACTTTTGGAAAAGAAGGCAGTGATGCTGGCACAGAGGGGACACTTCCGTTCACCCACCCGATAGGATCACCTCCCTCCCCCTCTCTCATTAGGGATATGTCTTTCAGCACGGAAACTAGCGAGCGACGCATGTCGTGCGATAGTGAAGAATCCGGCGTCTCGAGCGCCCCTTTTAATGCCAGAGAACGTCTCGTCGCCGCTATTCGCAAGGTCATCATGTTACAGGCGACGACTTCTGCTGCTAGTGGAAGGTATCCGCCAGGCGATCGCCACCGAACACTATCCGAATCTCGGACTGAGCCTATGTCTCCAAGCAGATTTTCAGATCCGATGGCAGCGTTTCGTGGATCCAGGTCGATGGCAGTAGCGCCCAGATTGAAGGCTATGAGAGTTACGCAAGAAGTTCCCGCCCACCAAGCGTTGGTCAGGCATCTACAGTTCTCGCCAAATGGAAAATATCTAGCGACTTCTAGGTATAGTTTAAATGTTCTTCATTTATCGTGTAGTTTAACCTGATTGTGTCTCTAGCTGGGACAGGACTTCAATCATATTCCGCGTGGGGGTAAGTGACACTGTATTCTTGCTTTTCCTGATAAACTCTGATCAAGTTCTAGGACCCCTTCACCTCTCATCGGATACTTGTACACACAAAGGGTTTTATAGGTCAAGTTGCATGGTCTGTGTACCACTTTAGCTACATATTACTATAACATACTTACGGATGCACTTCAGGTCTCCATCCGGCAATATGGTTTTGACGAAGTTGAATCGCGCTATCAAGATCTGGACTGAGGTAGGAACTATTATATTTACGATAGTCATTGAGCGATTACTGACTTTTTCGCTTGTGATAGGACGGTGTATGTAAGAAAACCATAGACCGCCCACGCACTGTGCAATCAATTGCATGGCTTCCGAAGGGAGATGGTAAACTGCTTTTCCACTTTAGCTCATCGACTGAGCTACTGGGAAAAAATGTACTTACATAATATAATCAACAGCTATTGTCTCTGTCGAAGTCAATGAATTTATCAAGATGGTGAGTAAATATCTCACTGTTCAAAGACTCAGCGCATCTCATCGATATGTAGGATCAAGTTAATAAAATTTATGAATCCCGTGTAGAAGGAAGCGTAGTTGTCAAGCTGGTGGGTAATTAATCTTCCGTCGCACGAATGCTTTGCTAATCCCTGTTTAGGATCTCCATGGAAAAGTGTGTTGTGATCGTGTCTCGTAAAGGACGTGCAATCATACAAACTCATGTGTGCGCATTCAAGGTTCTGGACACTTACCAGTTCGGGAGAATCAAGTTGAACAGCGTTGCTGTTCATCCCGATTGCCGTAGACTCATCGGGGTTGGACCTTTACTGTCTTCACCAAGTGGACTACAGCCCAGTAAATCTAGGGTAGAGAAGCGAGTCATAGGTAAGTTTTAAGCCTCAACGTCGGCACGATACTCATGAGTGACTCTGCAGTGTACAATATGGAGACGAAACAAAGTGAACAGTAAGTCTTCGTTCGGATTGTATTACGCGGTCGAATTTCTCCTCTAACTTGTAGCCGAAGTCAAACACCTGTGTTTAATGATGTTCGGGACATAACAATCGCTAAGAAAGGCTCCGTGGCCCTAATATCATATGAGCATCAAGTAAGCAACACAAAATGACGACGTCATTGAATTATCTGGCTTAACCACCACGTGTTTAGTCGCCGCCGCAGCTGTGGAAGTTGGAATTGGTTCGAGATAAAGAGCATAAACTATCCAGTATCCTTAGGCCCAGCCTCCGGCTCACCTATATGCCCGCTAAGGGTCCTGTCGACTTTTCGGGCCCCAGTTACTTCGGAGGCCAGGACGATCAACTAGTATTATGTGCTGGGAAAGGTTCGTGGTGGCCGCCCCCTTGTTATTCAACAGTATTAAAGAATATGACACCAGCTGGCGATATTCACATCTGGGAGCGAGATACCGCGGCCCTTCTTCACCATATACGACCACAAGGCCCCAGTGGAGATGTAACATGTATTGCTTGGAATTACTTCGCCGATATGCAGTTTATGTTCGCAACTGGGAGCCACGACGGTACAGTCAGAGTTTGGACAACTCCAGATGATACTCGTCCGGAGGATAGCCCAGTGGCCCTGTTAACTGGCTTTCCACCTTCCCGCTCACCATCAGTGGTATCTCGTGATAATCGCAGAGAAGCTAATGTTATCGACCCTACTTCAGCTGGATCCCCTAGAGAAAGACGCCCTCACGTTGAAATCAAGGTATCTTAAGCCCTTTCCATAATAATCAAGCAATGTAACTCTATCAACATGAATCGGCCAATAGCTATAAACTCTGTATTTTCTTCCATTTCTCGTTCATCATTCTTGTTGCTTAGATCATCCATAGAGGGAGTATGTGGACTATTTATACATCGTTCTGACAGTACCATAACTGCATGCTTTATTCATACATAATTGCGTTAGTGCACTAGCTTTTGAATCACAAGCAAATGTCAATTAAGATCTAATAAAAATATTGTAAACTGTTCTGACCTCAACAATTGGCTCAGTCCCCAGCCAGTTCCTCTGGAGCCGTGATGGATGTTTGTGACAAGTCTTTTCAGAAAACCAGTCTGATAGGTGTGGCCGACAGATGCCATCAACAAGCCGCACGAACAACGCACTCTACTTCGAACTTCACCGACAGATACGCCAAAAATCATATTTCCATGAATTCCTCTTCTTCCTCAGCCAGCAACTCTATTAATTTGAAGAACGAAGCGCCAGGAAAACCGACCACATTCTGAAAGTCACCATCAACCTTTCGGATAAGAAGATTTCCTAAGCCCTGCAGTACACGGATAAGCACAATGAGCTACGGGAACTAAGAATATGGAGTAGATACAACGAGTACCTGTATGGCAAATCCGCCTGCGCGGTCTCGCCCTTCACCATTTTCAGCGTAGGCTTCGAGGACATGGGGTGGATTGTCGGCAAAGTAAACTAGAGTGCGCTCATCTAGCGACCTGCACATACAGAACGAGTAAGATGGCATGATAATGAGACTGAAAAGCAAGGCTGACTTGATCGTGTAACCTGGTGAACTAAGTACCGGATATACTAGAAGAGTGGTATTCAATAACGGTACATATATGACAAATGCTGTAAAGCTTACCCAGTGAGACTCCAGTAACGACTTCACAAATACCGCCATTCAAATCGAGCAGCATGCGCAGGTTGTCCCCCTTGGACGTGGGCTTCTCTAGTAGTTCCTGCTGTATGCCAGGTAGTTCAGAGTATGATACTTCCGAAGTAGAAGGCTGTGCATGCGTCAGGACCACAGTGTCCGCTGCGAGTTTGATTGACAGTCATTCAGTCTCTTGGAGAGGTAATGAAAAAATGCGTTTAGCTCACCCCCGATGACGAGGTCGGGAGCATCTTCTGGGTTTTCGCTCTAATATGAGATGGTCATTGCCTTACGTAGAAGGGGTGTGGATCACACTTGCCACAAGACGTTCGTATACCTCCACGGCTTTGTGGGTGGCAGTTGCAACGGGATACTCGTGTATATCTTCAAATGATGAAACAGGGATGTTCTCTTCAAATGTAGAGGGGATGATTTCCGGCGCAAGGCCCTGCAGACAGCATCATATCTGAATGTTTGTGGATCACTGAGTGGATATTCGAGAACGTACAAGATTAATGAGGATATCCTTTCTTCGAGGACTGTTTGAGGCTAGAATAATGCGTTTACCGACTAGTTTTTTTGTTCCTGGTGTCTTGAGAGCGGTGGGAAGGACTGCGATGTGTTTAGGCGTCATTTTTGTATATCTAGTAGTTAGTCCAAGGTCGTGATGGTACAGGGAACCGATGCCACAGAAGTAACGCTGTAGTCACAGCATGGTCACGTTCTGAACTCTCTCAGGCTGATTTTCTTCTTATCAGAAACGTTCAGTGTTGCCAGTGTTCAATAGACCTTGTTAAGCAAGGTAATGTCACCTTGACGTTGTGCGCTCAACGATCTGCAAGACCTTCAATTCAGTTGGTACCCTGCCGCGAAGGACGTTGTCAACCAAAATTCCTAGACCCTTCTCATTTTGGACCACTGGTGGACATTCAGGCTTCCCGGAGAGTCTGTTTGCTAGTTTACGGACTGCATACCGCCCCTGCTTCGCGACCCGAAATTTCCAACAAGTGCCGAACCTCCACCACGAATGAGAACATCATACGATACGGACACCGAACGCACATGCTAACCATGTGCCGAACTAATGCGAATCTGGATGAACACTGTTCCCTATGGTGCATCACCTGGCTTACTGTCGACTGCGCCTGTGTCTTGTTCCCGCTCACAGAAGCTGGTATACACGTACGCTTTTGATGCTATTATGTCTCCATTCTCAGCATCTCCAGGGTCAATGTCTACAGCAGCGCATCTTCAAGTTGCTCGCGACACGGACATCGCACCGGTTCATGCCTATCTGCGCCAATATCGTTCCTCACTAGACTTTATGAGCTTGGGACGCCCTTGGATTTACACGCACATGATGGAAGTGGTCACGAGTGGGCCTCTTTCCCCGCACTACGTACCTTTCCTTACGTTGCTGACAGGGAACATGACCCAGGTCAGAAGTGATGCGAATCGAGGACGCGGCGGTTGGAGCCACTTTGTTCTCAAGTATATTTGACTCCTCGACACTAATTGGTTGACGTCTGACTAAAAGCACTTTGTTCAAGGCCGATGCGCCTGTGAAAACAAGCCAAGCATCACACGTCCTTCTCGTTATGATCAGGACATTACTCCGAGTCAAGCGCGACGTGTTATAAACGTCCTCTTGCTCTTCATACACACCTATCAATCATTACAATGTCCCCCTCAGTTGCTCTCGCCTCCCCCATAGTTCATGGCGTCGCTGCCATCCTCAATCCACAGCCAGCCGCTGCTCCTCAACGCGCCATCTTTTCCGATTTCGCCATTGCTAACCGCGTCGCCGTCATCACAGGGGGACACCGCGGCCTTGGTCTTGAGATGGCTCTCGCTCTGGCCGAGGCAGGAGCCGTAGTGTACTGCTTAGACTTGCCTTCAGCTCCTGATAGTGAATGGCTGGCTGTTAAAAAGCACATCGATAGCCTGCCTCCCCTTGAGACGCCTCAGACACAAGAGGAACCAGCAAAGTCGAGACTGGAATATTTGAGTGCAGACGTGACAGACCAAACGGGGACGTGGGATATCGTACAACAGATCGTGGACAAGGAAGGGAGAGTAGACATATGTGTCGCGGCTGCTGGTATTGTCATCGATGGTGACTGCTTGGAATACCCAGCAGACAACTTCCAAAAGGTGGGTGACTGGACTCACAATTGTATAATGGTGAACTGACATGCTGCCTAGGTTATGAACGTGAACGTGAACGGCGTTCTCTTTGCAGCCCAAGCTGTGGGGCGACAAATGGCCCGTCTTGGCATTGCGGGTAGTATCATTCTCATTGCATCTATGAGCGGAAGCGTTACTAATAAGGTAAGCCAATATTTTCTATGAGAATATATCAAGCTGATAGCATGGACAGGGCCACCGCTATGTCTCTTACGGTGCAAGCAAATCTGCCGTCCTTCAGATGGGTCGTAGCATGGCATGCGAGCTTGGACCGATGAAGATCAGGGTCAATACCATATCGCCTGGATACATGGTTACTAAGTGTGTTTCTCTTATTCAGCGCGTATATACAAGACATCTTCATGCTAACGATATCCTGTATAGAATGAGCGGAGCATATCTAGACAAATTCCCTCATCTTGCTCAGTCATGGTCTGACCAGAACCCACTAGGAAGGCTTGGAAGACCGGACGAGCTGCGTGGGGTCGTGACTTGGCTTGCCTCCGATGCGTCCAGTTTCTGTACTGGTAGCGAGTGAGTGTCAGGATACTCTATCGTCCCTTCCATTTACTGATGTAGGAGTTAGCATCATCGTTGACGGAGGACATACGGCGTGGTAAGGGCAGTGAACTGAGGCTGGGATTGAACGTTTTACAAGGAAGTTTCTCGAATCTCTTTGGGTTTTAGGGACGTATATGCGTCGTGTCACCTGTATATAATATACTCACGTAGGATGTCTGTATTGGGCTTATGGATGGTTTGTATGATCTTAACGGGACTAATGATGTTCATGGATAAACCAACAGATGATAAGGCTCGCATGAGAGAAATGAAAGTGCATTGAACCGCTGAGTTGATATACCTGGAAACAAGAGGTTATTTCAATGTACATAAGACAAACACATTGATCACGACAAAAACACGGACACTCAGTTATACGTAACATATCTGAAAGATAATCACCCATTGAATACCTTGTATGGCACATCAAGTAGCATAAATGATCGATAAGAGCAGCTTAATTGTTGTTTTCCATGCGAGTATATTGATGCATGTAGGGTCATATGACATGTCATACGCATGAATAAGTAGGCGATACGAAAAGCGAGGATGTACAGGGATTAAATTGTCGAAGGGTACAGCATCTGTGTGTGATATGGATTAGGATAGTGTACCAGGATTCTAGAACTAAGATATACGCACAACACGGACACTAGCACCGAACGCGCGTGGGGGAAGGTTTGACCTGAATTTTGATTTAACGACACCAGAATTGCCGTGAGGGCGAGTTACACGACTTTGTAGAAGACGGATTCGAGCGTCAGAAGATATGACTGGATAAATCACAAAATTGACTCACCCCCAGATAACTCGGACCTTCGATCCCTGTACCTCCGTCTTCGCCTTGTATACAAAGGCGACTCTCTGGCAAGAACGTGAATAGCCGATTTAGAATTAAACGAACAAGAAGCGCACCTTTCCAAGGTAGAACTGGGCGTCCTCTTTCGTGGCGACACCCTCGATTTGAAGGAGGGAAGTGTTAGGGCGAGTGTTGCGCTTAGCACGCTTGTGGCCGAGGACGCGTCCCTTGCAGTAGAGTCTGGTGAATTGTAAAACAGGAGTGAGTTTACGATCGCATGCAGAGAACGCAAGGAGCCCAGGAAATGTTCAAGGGATAAGATCCAAATGTGGAACGGCTCATCCGACCCAGACGTCTTTCATCCAGCCCAAGCCGGCACTCGAGTGTCGTTTTACGAGATGTATCGTGTGCTACGAACGCTGAAGAGAGGTATGCAACGCTGAATCTCACCTTGTTGAGCCCATTTTTGCCGTCTATGTGATTTCCGTTGCCGTCGAGGTCGTGAGCTTGAGGATGGATGAGTACAGGGCGTGACGAGTCACAATGTGGCAAGCATGTGACCGGGCTTAGCCACCCGTATAAAGGCCGCACCAGTCATTTGTTTGTTTTTCATGCCAGTGATGCAGCATTACAGGGCTGCACTCGCGTTGTCGTCCTCAGACGATGCTGGGTAACGGAGCATTGGCAGAACAACTCTTTTCTTTCGAACAGCAGATTCATTTGCGGTATCGTACTCGCAGCTTTGTTATTCCAACGCAGCAGCTATCGTAGAAGGAAATACAGCTTTGCTTGATGGGATCTTTCCGACATGCTCTTATGCTCACTCCTTTGTCCTGTCAGTGGAGGGATTTGTGCCGTGGGCTGGTTAAGAATGGCTGTATTCATGTATCTTACTTATATTCGACCCTTACTCGCTACTGCATTATTAATCCCATCTTTTGAAAAACTCTGACTCGTTCGTTGTTCCCACTCAGAAAGTTGCCTCTATGTCGCGCAATCCTGTTCTCATTTGTAGGCGGTTCGCTTCTACCATCACCATCAAGCCAGCACCGTCCAAATCTCACCTTCATGCCTCCATCCCAGACTCGTCCTTCCCAAAGAACTTTGTGGTGGCAGGAAGCCATTGCGGTGTGAAGAAAAATGCTGGTGTTAATGATCTGGCAGTCATCCTATCGACATCATCACGACCAGCAGCTGCAGCTGCGTGCTTCACTCGCAATGCCTTCAAGGCCGCACCTGTGCTTGTCTCTCAAGAGGTGCTCGAAAAGGGCGCGGGCCGCGCAAGAGCCCTTGTTGTCAACAGCGGCTGCGCCAACGCAGTGACAGGCAAACAGGGCATGGAGGACGCATGGGCTATGGTCAAAGCGACAGACGCTCTCCTTGAGCCCTCGTCACCCAGCTCATCCGGGACACATGAGACTCTTGTCATGTCCACTGGCGTTATTGGCCAGAACCTACCCATATCCAAGATTATCGCCGGTATCGAATCCAAAGCATTAACTCTAGACTCGAACTTCAGTGCTTGGGAAAGTGCAGCAAAGGCTTTTATGACCACCGATACATTCCCTAAGCTGCGCGCTCGCACTTTCACCATCAATGGACAGACATTTCGAATGGCTGGTATAGACAAGGGTGCAGGAATGATCCACCCCGACATGGGCCCTCCTGCTAGTGCGAAACAGCTCCACGCTACCTTACTTGCATGCATCTTGACCGATGCTGCCATCTCACCTCGAAGTCTACAATCCGCCTTGACATATGCTGTTGATCGTAGCTTCAATTCTATCAGTGTAGACGGCGAGATGTCTACTAATGACACCATTATCGTTCTTGCCAACGGCGCTGCCGCCGATCAGTCAGCCAAAGAAATCGACGAAGAGCACGATAGAAAGGCATACGAGACATTCCGTGAAGAATTGACTTCGTTCGCAACAGACCTTGCCCAGCTAGTCGTACGAGATGGAGAAGGTGCGACAAAGTTTGTCACAGTCAATGTGCAGGTAATGTCAAGTTTCCCAGCCTAGTGAAAAACAACATATTCAAATTTTATACAGGGAGCCAGTTCATTTTCAGATGCTCACCGCGTCGCTTCTAAGATCTCCACCTCTGCACTTGTGAAAACTGCTTTGTATGGAGAGGATGCCAAGTAAACCTTATCAGTCACCCAGTTTCCACCTTGATTCTGACATGAACCGCAGCTGGGGCCGCGTTCTCGCCGCCTCTGGGTCAGTGCAACTTTCTATCCCTCTCGACCCCACTCGTGTTAGCGTCACATTCGTCCCTGCCGATGGTTCAACTCCTCTTCCTGTGCTGGTTGAGGGTGAACCAGAGCAGGTAGATGAGGTTCGCGCGAAGGAGATCCTTAGCGAGGAGGACTTTGAGATCAAGGTCGAACTAGGTCTCGGCAAAGAGAGTGCGAAATACTGGACTTGCGACTTCAGCTACGTAAGTCCTTCTGATTCCTCTAACTGTTTGTCATTCATAGTCTATCACTCAGGAATATGTATCGATCAATGGAGATTACAGAAGTTAAGCAAACGCGGGTATATCTAGTCAAACACAAAACCCCCTAGACTTAAGTACAAGATATCATCTCTAGCAAATGTTCTATCGTCTCGTGAATAGATATTTCTACTTGCCGTTACTGTCTGATATAGCTTTGATCATAGCTGACCCAATCTTATTAGCTTCTTCAAACCGGGACTCGAAGAACGACGAGGTTTCGGCAAACCTCTTCCTGTACAACTCGAAGTCCCCGAATGAGACGCATTGACTCCATCCTCGGGCTGCGACAACAAATTCAAGATCATCAGATCTGTGTGATACGTCCCAGACTGCTGAATGGAGCGCCTGGTCCAGTCTATCGGTGGAACGGAAGAGGTACTCCGCAACACCGATCCACATCCTGAAGATAGGCGTCGCCGCAAGGTCGAGGTGCACGAACGGTTGGATCCCAAGATGAGCCCAACAGTCCACCATGGCGAGCAGAGCAAGATGTGAGTTGGATCGCGGTGCAGAAGTGCCAGTTGGGGAGACGCCATTACCGTTGATTCCGTCTTTGCGTGCGCTGCCAATGGTGAACTGGTCGAGGACGTCTTCGGATAAGAATATGGGGGTGCGCGTCTGGCCTGTTTGCGTGAACACGGCCTCGCGTGCCTGGTACATTCGGGCGCGGAGCGTCGGTACGTCTCCCGCAAGCATGAGCTTAAACAGTTCGGTTGCACTTGTCGCGTACTGGTCGATCTGAACGCGCGCCGACGGGTTGAGGATGGCTAGACCAGCGTAGACGTGCCACTTGTTGGCGTATATGCGGAGCATGATGTTCACTTTGACAGTTTCGATTCCGCCGATGTACTGGCCTTGCTCCCAGGGGTACGATTTCATGCTTGCCCATGCTGTGCCCATACTACAGAAGTAGGTTTATTGACCGGTGGAAGTAAATGGGGAACTGAAAGACTCACGTTAGGAAGGCGGCATGAGTAACTGCTTGGACGTTGGCAGTCACGAGATCATGGTCCTCGTAAGTGAGGTAGACGTAGCGAGAACGGAAGCAACGGAATATGCATTCGACGAGATGAAGTGCTGAATCCGGGGCACGGTGTTTAATGAGAACCTGGTCGTGTGACGGATGACGTTAGTGGAGAAGTAAATTAGAAAGTTGTGTTTTGCATTTACTAAGGGCTGTCCGACTGGGGAGACTGTCGGGCCGTGAAGAGAATGGATGGAAACTATATGTACGTCCTCGGGGAGATATTTCTCGAAGGCTTCTTTCTCGGGGGCTTTTACCGACGTCTGGCCTGACACCACGGCGCCTACCTTTGTAGCTACACGGTTTTAAATGAGAAATCCGAGGGCCTAGAGGTGATAAGACGGGGAAGGATTCTCACAAGGACCATACTGGGCGACTACGCGATCGATGTACTCTGCCTCGACAGAGTACATGATAAAGTCGGATATCCTCGATACAGCATGTCCATCGGGGTATACGGTTACACCTGGTGTGCCTGTTGAGAATGGAACGAGTGAGCGGACCTTGTAGAGGTGGAATGCATAGCAACGTGATGACATGCCTTGGTAGGCGCTCTTTAGCGACTCGTACTTGGTTGGAATGTCACAGACGGCAATTCTGGGAGTGAAACGTGGTGATGCGGAATTCCGGAGTGGTTAGACAGTGATGCAGGAGTTAAGTATACACATGAGGGGTACTGACTTTTTCCAGCCGGCCTCGGAGAGATATTTAGTGTACATGGTGCCCATTGCGCCCATTCCGATGAGACCGATTGTGGGCTGGTCTTGGATGGGATCATTTTGGGTTATTTCGGTGGAGGCCATTGTGTTAATAAATAAGCCTGTTTGAGGGTGAAAGTGAGACGAAGGAAAGTATGAGGGGGAGAAAGAGAGAGGAGACGAGTGAGAAATATACGCTGTGCTGTGAGATCCGGGTGCGCCTCTGAACCGAAAAGGTGGTGACGTTCGCAGAGAAGCAAATGGGAATGATGGGTGCTAGTACTTACTGGGATAATGTATGGTGATAAGCCTGCAATGCATGCAAATTTAAAGCATGTATACTGGACTGCAAGGTGGAACTCAACCTGCAGCGCTGATCCTCGCTGGTGTCGGGTGTCCAAAAGGGGAAGGACGCGGATGGTTGCCATATTGACAGAAAAGATTAGAAGCCGCAATAAAGCGTGTCTTCAATTATCTTTGCCGTACGTTCGCCCACTGACTCAAGTTCCTTGGTTCGTGCGTCTCGACGACGACCGAGAATCTTTCAGCGGCCAACATATATAACCCCTACGCTCGCTTTAGTCTCCCTCTTTCCTCCCCCCATCATCCCAGCCAGCGCCGGCGCCAGAGGTCCTTGCTTTGCTTATCTCCGTGCGTTTCGCTCCACCCTTGTCCCATTTGAGGCTGACAGGGACACACAGCTCTTTTGACTCGCTGCATTTCATTTTACGTTCCAGAAGGCGTATGCAGAGGTCTGTCTCACTTTTCAAAATTACCCCGTCCACACAATATCTGAAACTCTCTTAGCATAGGCTGTTCACCTCAGTGATCCCTGTTTCTCCGTCGTCTCCGTTTTCAGCGTTTTCGCCAGCACCCGCTACCCGCACCACGCTCTCTTCAATCTACATTCTTTTCACCAACCCTCTTTATCACCCCACTCTGTCCTGACAGTTGCCGTTACATATCCCGCCTGATCACTTTCGGTTACAAATTAAGCCTCGGCGCTTGACTACGTGTTCCGTTGCTGCACAACCTATTTGCACGTTCCCGCTTGTTATTCTCAGCTTTTCACTCCCTTTTCAAGTCTCGTTCTCTCCTTTGATTCTTGTCTTGTCTTTGCTGTGGATATAGACTCGTTTGCTGTGACTATTGGCCCACAGGCATATTATGTAGGTTTTATCGTCGTTTTGGAAACCACGAGCGCTCATATCTCCTTCCAATTCGGTCAGGCCTACCGTGCCTTAGGATTATCTGCTTTCTGTTTCTGATTAGACTCGACGTCGTCAACCGGTACCATCGGTACGTTCTTTCCTGTTATCCTACTACGATCGTTAAGAACTCACGCTCCACTCCAATCAAGTCTTCTAAATTCCTACGCCCACCGCGACGTGATCGTCTATCGAATCACCGCGTCATGAATAGCACTCAACATCTTTCTCAGTCACCTCGTCTCTTTCGACGAGATTCTATGTCGTCTCAGCCCTCTACACACACCGCTGTCTCGAACGTACCGCGTTCCGAGAGGACTCCTTCGACTCGTAATATTTCTGTGCCTGCCCATATCCTTGCCTCGCTAGATCCTCCCGCTCCAAGTTCCCGATCTCGCAGATTTCACTCGAAGTCGGTGTCAGCGCAAGCTAAAAACTTCGCTAGTGACGGTCCCGCCTGCAATCCAGAGACATACAAATATGGTCAAAGTCGGTCCTCACGTCCGGGCTCCACAGTAGGCAAGCTCGCTTCAGCTTTGACTCGCTCATCGCGGTCTGCAAATGCTAGCATATCGCAACCAATTTCACCGTATGACGATATCCCCCCAACACCAACCTCTCCCTTGGGTGCTCGATCCCATTCATCGTCCCACTCGCCAGCATCGCAGAATAGATTGCCGAGTATGACCTCTGAAAGCAGCACAATGTTGTCGGCGGGGTTGAAACGTCTTTTGAAGAAGCCTTCGGTTCAGCTGCGTTCGGGAGCATCATCTTTCTCCGCACCTTCTGACTCAGAAGGATCGTCCCGTTTTCATGGCTCACCACTCTCTCCACGGCCTAGTCCCAACCACTGCTCTCCTAATGATGTCACAGCGACGCCCAGAAGCTTTCGGGCACTACAGCAAGCACGGCAGGTATCCGACACGCCTGGGTCCGGGTCTCAGCCCACCAGTAACGACAGCTCCCCGCGGGAGCAGCCACCATCATGGGCTTCGCCGTTGCCTCCTCGCGGGCGGGAACAAAAACCTCGCAATGTCCTCAGGCGAAAGCCGAGTGGATCTTATAAGGCGTTGCAGCATTCTAAAGAAAAGGAAAAGAGTAAAGCAAGCACGAGTGCCAGTCCGTTGTCTGCTGGGAGACGGGCGACTGTGTCTGTTCCCTCCAAAGATCATGTCTCTCCTTTGTCTTTGTTGTCTTCGCCAAGAATTTTAGGGAGGCAGGGGTCAGGTCGTGCACATCCAGTTCCTTCGCTAACGCCCGCAGGTGCTGTTGTACAAGCCTATAAGCAGCAGGAGCAAAGTCGAGAACACACCCCTGCGGCAAGTGAAAATCTCGAGCATTATAAGTCGTTAACAGGTTCAGAGGTGTCAAAAGCAGACGATGAAGTTTCTGCAACCCCATACTATACGGTGTTTGGAAATACGTCTGGGAGGGTCGTCGCAGTGGGAGGACCTAACGATAGGTGGGATGGCCTTGATGGCTACTTGGTTCATCAACGCGCAGGCTCCGCAAAACCTGACTCTGGGAGTCGCAGTTTAACAAGAAAAGTGTCAAATAGGTGGAAAAAGGTGACGAGTGGAGGAGTAGAAAGAGAAGACTCGTCGCCGGTGGAACGTAGTGGGCACATGAAAGGTCGGCAGAGTTTGCAGGAGAATCGTTCGTTGGGTTTGCCAAAAGAGCAGCGGGGTTCCTTGGACAAATTTGGTTGCGAGTTTGTCGATCTTCGTTCTGCTGAGAACGTACATCCGAGCCAGACATTGTCCTCTGCACGTAACTGGGGATCAGAGCATGTCAGGGCAAGCTCCACTCACGAGAACTTTGGAAAGGAAAAAACAGAAGAAGGGGGGAAGTTATGGAAGTTGATGAAGCGATTGAGTACAGGTGGGCTTCGCGATCGATATCAAATAGACAAGGCCGCACCTCCTGTACCAGCCATCCCAAAGGAATTGTTGCGCAGCACCGCTCAGTCCACCGCTGCACGACAGACAGACACGCTCACTCGCATCATGACGTCTCCGGAACACACAGCCCATTCACACACTACGATGGTTTCTCCGACGAAGCAAAGAAGTGGGTATGGCCCTCGGCCTTCGACTGCTCCTAAATCATTTGGTGGGCCTCGACAGAGCATTACCACACGTTCTTCTTCACCCATATCGTCAGATATAGCATCCTCAAAGTTTTTCAATAGGTCGCAATCTGTGCGATCCTCAACGTCCTCATATGGCTATGAAATTCCACCACTACCACACTTTGCGGATCAACACATTCTATCCCCTAAGGAACTGCATCAATTTGACAACATAGACGAGGCTGTTGCGTCCCCAACGCCTAAGCCCCGAAAATCTGTTCCTCGTCGATCAATGTCTGGCCCGGCAGATCACCCGGCATCGGCTCGATCGGAACACCAGCCCCTTCCCTACCCACCAAGGAGGATGGGTAGCAACGAGAAGGATAGCACATCTCCTCTTTCTCGTCCTGCATCTCCCCCTATTCCTTCCTTCTCTACCACTGATCCTATAAACGCTTTCTCGCCCAAAAGCGCCAAAGACGGTGATAAAAGGCCAGTTCTCTCGTTACCTCTTCCCGAATTTGGCCAGTCTCCTCCACCAAGACCAACCAGGAGCTCTCTGCGGCCAGGCCGAAACCAGGTGCGGTCCCCATCTACGCCTTCTCCGTCGTCTCACAAGACCGCTGAAGACGAGGACGAATCGACTGGGCTGAATAGAAACCGGGCGTCATCTGGAGCGCATAGCAATGCTTCGACAACGAAACAGAGGCCAAGGTCGAATTCGTTTGGTTCAACGCCTCGCAAGACCGAACAGTCTCCCGCTCGATCACCTCTTACTTTCCGAGAGCTCAGTACTCCTCGTCGAGCGCCGCTCAGTGATAAAGAGAAAGCTGATAAATGGGATGACCTGCTTGAACGCAGTGCGCGAGCAGGAGGCACGCTTCACCTGGGTGGAGGTGATCTCATGTCGGACCATTTGCGATTCTCAAATTATTCTGAGATTTCCTAAAGAAAAGTCATTCAACTCCGTGGTCAAATACTTCTGATATACCCGTCAACATATACCTGCCTCCAGTGCATCTACGAACATCGCCCAGTCTAAAATTCTTTTTACATGCATCATACTCTTTTACGCTGGCATTATAATGAGGTTAATTGTTGCTCTATTTTTCTGGACGAAGGCAAATCAACAGCCCATCTCCCTCCATCATCAGTAATGATCTGCTGTCTATTAGACCGAAAATATAGATATGTTGATACAAATTACTTTCTGACGTGGTAAAGTTTGTATAGATAAAATAGTGCAAGGTAGGTGTAAGCATGACAGTGATAAATATCAGCCTTCCTAAATGACGTATGGCAAAAAAGTTCTTTGTATGCCTTAGTCTCAGCGCGGAATGTTAAAGTCGAGAGATAACATATCCTCAGGACAGAGTGGACTTGTATACTATCATTAGACAACTATTGATATCAGTACGTGCTTGCCATCCACAGGTTGGCTATAAGTAAACACTTAAAAGAACATTTCTGTCGATGAAAAAAGCCGTATATACAAGTAATTGGTAATTACATAATATGCACAATATTATTCGAGTAGATATAATGCATCGATATGCAGTGGAATTCCAAGATATTCATGCCTGGACAGCTGTTGATAACGGTACATCAGTTAAGAATGGCCATGGGCTCAAAAAACAAGCATCTGTGACCCTCTAAACACGTTGTGCGGACGTTTCCGCGGTAACCCAGCTGTAAGAAACTCCGCGAATAGTTCCAACGTGAACCTAATTCGAAGGCCTCAGAGCACAACTTGAAATTCCCTCTTGACTGTACTTACGACCAACCGGAAGCAAGCTAGCTCATGTTACTGGGCTATTCTGTCCCATATATACATATATGGTCTGTAAAATATGACATGAATAGCTCAGGCTGCGTGTCTTCAGTCACATCAACGAACACTCCAACGACTGCAGTTGTAACATTTATATCCACTCCATGCTATTGAACTACTTAGTGCTGGCCAGTCAAGATAAAATCAAAATAACGGTTGAGCCAATTGTACAGTATCTTGTTACTCGGAAAGCAAAGGCCGACAAAAAAATATTTTTCAAAAACTCCTGTAACTTCTCCGTCTCTTACCACGGCCGCAGTATTGCTGGCACAGATCCTACTTATTGTAGCATCTATTTCTGTGAACCTTGGACAACTTGAACACACAGTCGCTCGGTGCTACATAGAAGAGCACAGGAAGAGAGGACCTCAACAAGTTCACCACTTCACCTTCACAGAAAAGGAAGTATCGGGCCTTTTCAAATTTGAGCCAAGTCCTTGGGAAAGCCGTGGTAGCCTTGCTTCATATCTTTGTAAGTAAACTGAGTGGAGTCCGAATGTCTTATCACTGATATGCCTGACTCGGACTTACTGTCCTCTTTCTGGATTTTCAAGCTTGTGCTATGCAGGGGACATGTGGCCGTAGTGTCATCAGCATTGCAAGTCAGATCTTGTCGCACATCTCCGGTAGAATAAAGAGAAAACAACGTGGGTGCATCGTGATATCTTTATGCGGGATTACTGGATTCACCTGCCAAACACAAAAAATGTCTACCTCGGCGCAGATATCATTGCAACAAAGTCCAGAGCTTATAGCGCTATCCTGGTACGAATTAAGATGTCGCGATTTACCATCTGATACTGGTTCTTATTTTTTTCTAACGAGCACTCACTAGCGCTCGTTATTTGTGTTCCACAGGCTATTACTGGCCTGTAAGCCCTTCTGTGCTGTCAACTCAACTTTTCAACCTGTCACGTGCGGACGGCCTAACCACAAGCAGACCTCCTTTCTGTTCCTGTACTTGCAATTATTACAACGCTGCAGCTTATCTTGACGTGCATACACACAAGCATCGAAACTTCGAAAGAAAAGGAAAAGATGTCCCAGTAAGAGTAAGTCTTGACGTAACCGCAGAACCTTCGGCCAAGCTCACTGATTATACGTCCTCGTAACGGAATTGTCTCGATATAGAGGAAGCTTTGTTAGCAGCGCTCAAATGTTTGTATCCGAGTCTGCGGTTCCCTGAAAGCTGCTACAGCAAGGCTCCTGATGTGTCTTATCGTAGTATGGAAACCGCTGGGTTTATTTTAGCTGTGTCATTGCAGGCAGCTATTCATGTTCTATTGCTTCTGATGCCGCGTGGTAGTCTTTCAAACATTGTAATTCAGGACTCTGCTTCGTGTTTTTGACGGCATGTCATTTGGGTATGCCCGTTCAGTATTTCACTTCGCTATCCACTACCTCATTGTTTCTGCACCATCTAGACAAACGCGGTGCGAGCAAAAAAACATATTTCCGGCATTACACCTTGTGTTTTTCCCCCTTTCCACCCCGACCGAATAGTTCCATAATTCACCGAGTTTTCACTTTACCACAGATAATGAGGGACGATACTCTCCCCTTGTGACCTTGTCTGGTTATTATCAATTCACATACAATGCTCTATACTAAACATTCTCGTCCCCATGGTAAAGGCCATATAAAGCCACCTTTCCCAACCGCAGTGCTGGAATTACATCCACTATGAAAGGACACATTTTGGCATTGAGCGGACAAGGCCTCACGAGAATTGACATTTGAGTCTCTATGCATGACCTTCTCATGGAGGCTCTACACGTCCATACCCATTCCTCGAAAACAGATCGATCCGATGTTGACCAGGCAGGCCTTCGCAATATATATCCGTAATCCACGGCAAGTCGTCGCTCAACAAGCGAGCGTACACGTCAAAACTCATCTCGGTCGCTCTGCTGTTGTATCGTGGACAGGCTGAGCGCCAAGTTAGATCGTCGTAGATCGGATCCGTTCAACAGATGCCTCATCATTCACATGGCCTGTCCCAATCATTTTCCAACTCGTAGATTGTCCTAGGGTCAGCCTAGCGGCACACTGATAAAGTTGGTGGAGCCATGGGCCATAGTCCTGCCGCCGCGCGAAATAAAATTTGGTGCTATAAACCCACCTCCAAAGTCTCCTTTACTTCATAGGGTCGACGCAAGAGAAAATATTTTAGCCATGTGGAAACTCGGCCACACAGCCACTTACATTGGTCAGAGCTCCTATTCCTCCGGTGAGAGTCCGTTTGCTGCGTTCTTTTGTGAAAGTGATTAATTTTAACGTGACATCACTTGGCAGACTCATCCTACCAATCTTCGTGTAACAGAACAGCTAGGGATGTCGGACGAAGTGCTGCATCTGAGGCCCTGGCTGCGTCTAAGATCAAGGTTCCGATGGGGAATGTCCCTTCCCTTCGTTGTATTTCGCCGCATACGGGCCAAGGCAAATGTATCAAATGTATCAAATGGAGTCATCGGATATATGATTTTACATGCAAACGTGTGAGTTACTCGGTCTACGCTCGGATGGGCAAAGCATGGTGAGGGTTAAGCGCACAGTGAGTACGTATACTGCAGGACATTGTCTTATAATATTATAATGAACATGCTATTATGCATCATGACCTATCAGTATACATGGGGTATACTGATTCCCTATATCGCAGTACACAGCACAAACTTATCCGCATATAATATCAAAAATCTCAATACCACATATTCTGCGTGGTGGAAAATGAATTTCCCTTCCCAGCCGCCTGTGCGAACATGACATAGTCTACTATGGCAACTACCAAACAATCGATTTCAAGTTAACATTCAAAATGATACATATGTGGAAGAAATCCTGGCACGTGTTGGATTACAGCACAAGTATGTGCACAGCGTTCATATATACTAACTCATTTTATTCGCTAGTTATACACATGTTCCGGAATCGTCGGACCAAGTATTACAGCCTCCAGGCCACCGCACTGGGATCTTATAGTGACGTGAAAGTCGACGTGGTTGACTGATCTGGTCAAAGCCGCGAGGTTTAGTTTGTTGCCTAACCGACCCTAAGAGGTACGTTATGTTCCTTGATTCGGGATCGCCTTGAGCCCTGATCCTGAATTCTGAAGTTCAAAGATAGTGTAACGCCGTGAAGATAATTTTTGTTACCTCGCAGTGCTAGTGCTAAACCTGTTCTGAATGCAACCTCATGGCACTGCTACCGAGAATATCGGTGGCCCATCAGTCCCATCATGGCCTCAAGCTGACTATACCTATAAAAGTAATCAAGAATACCACCATCGATGTAAGTAATGCGCAGCAGTTATCAGAATCATAGACGGGCGTTCATGAAAAATGAACACTTCTCCGTCGTTATACAAAGCGGAAATAAGCAAGCACGAGTAAGCTTTTCTCTTGCAATTGATTGACACTGATCCGATTAGAAAAACAAGTCAAAATGATAGATAAGTTGGACGTTCAATCGTACCTGAATGGGCGGCGTTAAGCTCCTATGAGGCTGTGGTACTATATGAAAGTCGATTTCGGTACAGGGGGACGGAGTAGAGTTTCGTCGGCAAGAATGGGAAACATTTTAAGCTCGGTGACTACGGTGCGTTGACCTTGCGGTGTTTTATGCTGTGCAAAATGAAGGACTATACAAACTCGAAAGGAGGGAAGTCGAAGGGCACGAAGTCTTCATTGTTGCCTCGCGTTGAACTACGAGCGGCGATAGAGCACTTGCATGACGCTATACAGACGTATATTGCTGGCATGGTGTTCGTCACAGAAAACAGGATGTGGTAACAGTTAACGCGTTAACTCCAGTGACGACGTCAATGTCAATATAAAACCTCCATCAGGTGTGAGAACCGGTGAGCAATTCACTCAGCGGTTAATGACAACGGAGATTACGGTATCGGTGGACATGGAAGACTTTGAGCTTCGTCGAAGGACGGTCAGGACATGATAGGCGTTTGCGGAGTGAGGATGGACGAACTTGGGGATAGATGTACAGAAGAGCTGAAGGGCACAGGGGGTAGTCAGGTGACCATGGCAGGTGTGGAACAACTAGTAAATATTTTGATGTAGTACTATTTCCATGAGTTCATGGTTTTGAGAAGGGTAATATCTATTCACTGCCCTCTGCGGTTACCGATTCACGTAATCCGCGATTATCTGATGACAAGCAAGCACGCTGTTCGCCAAGGGTTTGGTCGTTTACAGAATGCTGGAAGTAATGAAAGGTCTTTAATCCACCGAGGACACCTATTTCAGGAGCGACGCTAACGGCATGGACGGCCGGCCTGTGGCATGATGGTATGGCTATCCACATGAGGATTGTGCACATGAGGAGTCCAGGAATAGTAAAGAGCGTCAAAGAGAAGGCTGGAGGATAGTACGTACCTGGGATTACCATATAGATACATAGATGATTGCGTACGCACTATCTCTTCCACGCATCGTGTTGATCTAAGGACTTGGAAGAGGCCTCATGGACAGAACACCTGCTGATAGGACACAGGAAAGGGTGTCATGTGAGTGATTTGCATGGAGATGAAGATCTAAGAGAATCCGAAGAGGCGGAAAGCATGAGATGGATGAGCTGGAGGTATGTGCTCCATCTGTGTCTAAAGAGGCATCATTGAGGGTGTCATGATGATCCGAATGAGGAGGCGGAATATCGCACCGCCATCCGGGCATCGCGGATGTATTGTACGGAGATGAGGTCGATAATGGCCATGAACGCACCTGCATGCTGTTGCGGACGACGGCGACGGCGACTGGGACGACGACAACGGTCTCCAGGAGGAAGAGAGGGATGGTTATCTCGGACATAGGCGGGGTTTACACGGGATAAGCCGCGTCTCAGATCAATGCAAAAGTCTAATTTACACATCATTGCCCAATGCGGACAGAGATAGAATCGTGTGCCTCCGTAGCCAAGTATACTCTGCACCACATAGTCAGCAAGCTGAAAAGCAAATCAGCCACAATCAGAGGCAGTATATCACGTCTGCACCCACCTCCTTTTACTCACAGTACCATTTATCCGCAGGTACACGCCCTAACACCTTGCTCATACACATGGACAGCTTTCCATATCGTGTCCGAACCTGAGTATTTAGAGCTGCCTTGTAATCGTAACAGATTCCATCTCGTACCAAATAATAGACCCGGAGATCGCGAGAGGAATGGCCTTCCGTGCCACCTTTGGCACCTTCCACGTTACACTTGCGTTAACCCTGATACTTACTTATCACCATTCACCAACTAGCTGGCGCAGGCCCTAAATCTGATCAGGGTCTCTCTGTCATATCGGAAGTTTATTAGCGCCTTTCGCTGAAACCGTGACACTATCCTACTTTGAGCTCTCCTTATTAGGCGATCTGAACAGCCACACAGGCTTTCTCTCTTTACCCCGTCTCAGTCAGTCTTACTTATATCTCGCCTCACTTCCTTCGGGTTCGCGTCGACCCTCTGCCGATCCTCTTCCATGTTCTTTGTCCGTTCCATTTCGAGAGTATCGTGCTTACTGACACAACCTTTTTCTTTTTCTAATGGACCCTCCCAGGCAGTCACACAACCAGCCTGGTCGAAACTCCCCCGTGCCTCCTCGTCGTCTGGCAACCCTATACACATCTGACGACCAGAATCGCTCTTCGGTCCAGTCTTCATCACATTATTCCCAGCAGCCATCACTTCCCTCAATACGTCAACTACACCCCTATCTACCTCCTTCCGGTATGTCACAACAAGAGACACTCCCTGATGCATCTACCTCTGCCTACAGCTATCCTCCTCCAACATATCCAATAGCTTCCGGCAGCGGGGACCTACATTCCGGGCACTCTACCCAGTCTCATTCTAACGTCTATGGTCGCACTGAAACACTCGAGTCCGAACTCGAAGGAGACGCTGACCAGCAGGGTCCAGCTAAGAAGAAGCGACGCCGACAAGCGTTGAGCTGTAACGGTGAGCACATCATCTTCAATTACCAGACCCCGTATCTCTAACATTCAAACACGTTTTTTTCTTATCGATTCGGAAACGATTCGGAACGGTTCTTGATTCATCGCGATACGTGGCATTTTCATGCTTACCTTATGATTTTGTATGTCACGCGCTTCACTAGAATGTAAAAGGCGGAAGATCAAGTGTGACAGGTTCGGATCTTATGGGTGGCATCATTATGCTTGATGCTAACGATACTGCATTCTAGGGCACAGCCGTGTGGGCCCTGTACGCGTCGCGGTGAACAGTCAAAATGCCAGTGGCGCACTCTTGAGCCTGTGTAAGTGTCTGATGTTCTTGCTTTTATATTGGCTTTGGCATAAACTCATTTTGTCGATTTTCTATTTTATCGGGGAAAACAAAATTCTAGAGATAAGTATGTTAGCCGAGCAGAATACGAAGATCTCAAGTCCAGGAGTAGAGCTGAGTATGAGGAACTGAAAGCCAGATTTATCCACCTGGAAACGGTGGTTTCACGTTTTTTCTCCGTGCCTCCCGGACCAGTTAACGTGCCTCTGTATGCAATGCCCGCAGACATTCCAGGGGCACCCTCAGACGCTGTCAGCCCGTTCCAGCCGGGTCATTCCACAAATACCATGTTATATCAGCAAGGCATGCCGTTATCATCATCATTCACTCAAGAACAACCCCAGCCACCACATCGCTATCCCAGAGCTGAATCTCCGCGTAGTTTCACATCCAGGACCCCACATGGCCCACCATCTGTCCTGTCACATACATCTATACAGCCTCTTCCTCCACCAGGAGTTCGCCGCCTCTCCGATCCCAAATCTCCCACAACTCTGAAACAATCTCCACTATCCCTCGCTTCTATCACCTCTCCTTACAATGTCGATGCCCAGTCAAAAAACTGCCACGCGCAGACGCTCACGTTACTGGGCGAGCGTCTGCGCCCACAACCAGAGGCTTGGAAAGGCCCAGTGGCACGACGACGGGTACGCACCACCGCCCTGCGACAGTGGAAACATCGGTCGCTAGCAGCTCGTCCGATGTTCTCATGGAGAACACTATCGTGCCTGGACCAGGCATGTCGCTACATGTTCCTCATGGGTTCTCTCGACGATATAGTGATCCACCCCTTGTTCTCCCTAGTCTTCAGCCTGGGCGAGATGTAGGCGAGTCCAAGGAGCGGACACACGGACCTAGCTATGATATCAGAGAGCGGTAATGCTCCGTAAATTTTCTTGTTCTGGCGACATGACTTCACAACGAGACAGCGTTTTTTCCCGCTGTCATTTCCGGACTCTGTATTATATTCTTGTACATCCTAGTTTGGCTTCAAGGCTTTTTTACGTGCAGAAATCATTGGCGTGCTTACGTTGACCACTTGTAGCTTTCTACTGTCCCCACAATATTTTTTCTCCGCTTTATACCCCTCTTCAGCCATCGTGAAACGGGAAAGACTCCTATATGTACTATATCAGATATCAGTGTAGTTGGATCTTACTGTCTTGCATGCTTTGACGAAATATAATGTTGTAATGCATAGCTCAATCCGGGTATCAACTGCAAGCCTCGACCGTTAAAATAACTACAACTTCTATCTGCCACAACGGTAAGACAAGGGGAAAAAACGGGGAAATGTCCTAAAAGAAACATGGTTATTCCCAAACCAATTTGCCCCGTTCGTCAACGGTAGCCTGCATGCCTCCTCCCAGAGTCTTTGCACCACCTTTACGTGAGTATTGTTCCATGATCCGTTCACGCTCCAAGTCACGCTTGTGTTTTGCGAGGGTAGCCAGCCGCTGGGACTCAACCTCACTCTTCGCTGCTTTCTCCGCTTCGCGCTTATTCGCGTTCTGTCGTTGTCGTTTCGTCATCGTATCTGGGGCCTTCTGAGTTGAGGATACGGACGTAGCCTCTGCACGGTTCGGTTCTAGGGAGACGGAAAGTGATACGAAGTTAGTGATTAATAAAGAGTATAGGCGACATGAGGGGGCTTACTAGAGCGACTTTTGCTCTTCACAACGCCCCATTCAGCTTCATCTTCTCCGTCTGCATCATGTAAACCAGCACTCCCGTCGTCAACATGGACGTCTTCGTAATCTGCCCATGAGAAGCCTGTCGCCGGCTTCTCTCCGGGCCGAGGCTGCACTCGCATGATGCGAGCTACGCCGGGATAATCTGGTTCTTCTAGCATGCTGCCCAAACAATAAGAGCGTGAGTTTTGAGTAATAGTATTAAGGCGCGCGAATAGGAGCGTTGACGTACTCTGCAACACCAGTTTTTCTCGGTTTCGGGAGAAGCCTCTCAGCGAGAGTTCTTCGATTTACCCCTGTAGATCCGGGCGCGTCTGCATCCACGATTGCGGAGGCACTATCGTCTGTGCGTTCGGTAACAGGAGAAGAGTTGCCTGTAGCAGAGCTTGTAACGCCAGCATCACTACTAGCGAACTCCGTTGAGACACCCAGCTGATTAGAGGCATCCTGGGAGGAGCGTTTTGTAGGTCGCGGATGGGACTCGACACGTGTCCAGGAACTATCGGTATCAAAAGAAGGGGATGATTTTAGCTGGGGAATCGGTGCAGCGGCGGGCGGAGAGGGCCGTTTCTGTTTCGATGTGGGCAGGGAATTCAGGTCTGTGGAAGTGCCTGATGCATCATCGGAATGGTCGGGCTGGGAAGAGACATTCTTTCCCGCTGAAGACTCCCCCCTCACACCTTTGGATTTCTTCTTCTTTCCCTTCTTTGACTTTGGTGTCGGCTGTTCGGCGACTGTCCCGGTTTCAGTAAATTCGCCAGGAATGGACGCTGGGGTTGCGACGACGGCCGGTTCTACAACTAGGCTGTTCTTAGACGACTTGTCCTGCATTTTGCCCATGTTGTCGGAATGTTCTGGGCTCTTTGTCAACGCAACTTGTTTCTTCTTCTTCTTTCCCTTGCCAGCCGGAGTCGCAGTAACAGCGGTGGGCTGGGCAGCCGGGGATTTGGGTGAGTATGAAAGATATCCAAATACCAGTACGCCGGCGACGACAGCGGCAGTCAGGGCGTTTTGTGAAGAAATGTCGCTGAGAGTTGAGCCCATGATGGTGGATGCTAAGGACCTGGCAACTGAAAATAGGAATGGCGGTGTGACGTGGAAAAAGGCAAACGCGTCAATAATCGTACACAACGCGCTGGGATGGTGACCACCAAAGTCAGGATACGGCTCATACCACCTCAAACTTGTCTGTGAGCATGCGCTGAGTTATTCCGATTCTGCATTGGCCTAGTATTAAAGGTATCGACCATAATTAATTACGGTGTTTAAGCCCTAATCAATTCGTCGCCGGAAATCGTACTATCAACAGATGCAAAATTCTGAGCTTGGCAATCTCTCAGGGGTCGCTTCAAGTGCCTTATCCTAAAGCACAATAGTCGCATCATAACTCCGCAACTCACGTTCTACATGAAACCCTTGCCACTACAGCCTCCAATACAACAAGGCACCCTAGATTCAAGCGCGATTTCTCTTTCGAGAGAAGAAAAAATCGATCTTGTCAAAAGTCCTATCAAATAACATGGCCCTCCGGGGCAGACCTGGACCCGGTTGTTTTGCGTTTTGGTCCCCTTGTTGTGGCGAGTTACTATAGCATTAGCATTCCTCTCTACAATGTACCAAACGGCGAGGTAAAGTTTTTCAGCACCGACTCATTTACAGTACTGTTTTGCAGGTATCTCTGATAATTGTCATTGTCTGATCATTGCTGTTTACCCCGTTCTGGCCACACTTAGTTGTAGGTGCCCCAAAAATTTGTATGTCAGGATCTGGCTCTGTCTGCTACCATGCAAACCACTATATTGAATGGACAGCAAAGGAAACAAGAATGCGGTATCAATTGAGTCACACAAATTGCTTGCAAATGAAAGGGTGAGTCATGTAGGTTGGTACATAAGAGGTATAAGGTTCCGGGAAGAAAAAACTTCAATGTCAAAATGGAAACCTGGAACCTCTGGGTCCAGGAACTAGTGTATTTGACAGGAGTTCAGGTCACAACATGCAAGGCCTTACTCAAGCTGGTCTTTGTTCTTGACTCCACCAGATGATGCATAATAACCCTCACCCAATCTTCCAACATATCTAAATGAATGATTTGAGCAGTTTTCTTAGACAACTCTCAATTTGATTTTGCTCAAAAGATGCTGTTGTTGGATATTCGGTCCCTCAGGGCGTGGGAACAGGCACAGGAGAAGGATTCCTTTAGCAAATGAATGCTGTAACAATATAAATACATGCTTCTTATGTGAAAGAACAATGGTGGCCACAAAAAGCCAGTTATAATCACAGAGTAAATCTTCAGGCAAAGCTCCAAAATTTGCTTATGTAATATAATTTCTACAGCTGTCTATCTCCAATCATTGCTTGGTCCACTCATTATCATTTGCTGTAGGGGTTGAGTATTGGAAAATTTGTTGTGCATCACTTGATCTTTACCATCAGCAACTTTGGGAGATGCCAACCAGCACTAATAGCGCTTGACAGAACTGTGTAAGGACTATTTACTTTTCCTTACTTCTTCATTTCTATGTCTTGGTTTTCAAACACTTTCCCCATTACACCTCTGGCCTTAGGGCTAGAGGTGTCATTTGCTATATTCTTTCTCATTGCCCTGACGGGTTTTCTTAATCACCGCTATGCAGATCAGAGAATGGGCAGTACTCTCAGTCAGCCGGCACAATGGGTAAGGACTAGTAGCTGAGATCTTGCTAACCAGCTCCAAACTCTATTAGTGTCTGGACATGTTAATAAAGGCTTTAGTTAGAGATTGTGCCTCATCATGAGATTACGGTTTCTGAACATGCCTGACAAACCTATTATTAGCACACACTCTCACCCACTTATTAATCCATGAAGTCATACAATAGTTATTCTTTTGTCTTATTGGTCAGTCCCATCCTCAGACCATTTTCCTTTATTCCTCTTTCGGTCTGGGGAGATAGACAGTCAACTATAAAAACCCTACATATCTCTGTATGATTCTTTAGCTTTTTATTACTTGAAATATCTGTTTTACTCCTCAACAAAACCCTTGAGTCTACTCTCTGTCCTTGACTTGCTATAATCTCTAGCATCTATTGATCTCAAGACTCATTGTGCCCCTTTACTCCCTGCAAGTGCAGTCAGAGATAGTTTTTTTTTGTTATAGTTTAAACATTGCCTCATAAAATAAAAAGCTCATCCTACAATCTGTTTACAGTGCACCATCTTGCTTAAACCCATTATAGTCCTAACTACCATTTTCTTCATTCCCTTGGACATTCTGTCTTTCACTGTCCATTCTACAACTAAAACACAACCTTGCCTTCTAGCTATTAGCTAATTGACCTACCAACATCCCCACCTATCTTGAAGTAATACTTTTGCTCTTCCTTTCACAAGTCCTCACTATAGCAGTTATATTTGATCACATCTACAATTGTCAAAGTGTCGGATGTCAGAGATAGCCTGGTGACGGAAGAAAAACACCGTTCCCTCAAAAATTTCCACTGCGCACTCAATAACAGAGATCTGCACATTGCAGTACCTGTTAACTCCATAACCAATCCCCTACCTACCCACAGCAATGCTGAAACAGGGTACTATGAAGACTCATCAGCTTCATCCTCTTTTATCAGTGAATTAGAAAAGTTAGTTCTAGCAGTTAACAATCTAGCCTTTAAAATCTCCCAACTTTGTCAATACATTGCACTTACTGTTACAATAGACATACCAGCACCTACTTACGCTTCACTTTTGTACTTTAACTTTTCATTTTCCAAGTCACATGACCAGTCATGTGACCATTTACTTTACTTTACATTTTCGACTTTTATAAGTCACATGACCAAGTCACGTGACACATCACCTGACCAGTGTCTAGACTCATCATGTGACCAGTCACATGCTAGACATCAGACTTTTAAACTTTATTTATAACTATACAGTACCTCATGTATTTTAGTATATATACTGGAGCAATACATGGGGAGAGACTCAGCAAGTCCTCCTGTTGTTCACCTACAACTAACTCGGTCCTACCCAATGGGTCATCACTCCCACCTCTTTCTCTTATTTTGAGTGTTGTTTTTATTGTGCTCCAGTGCCCCAAGGCTGTGTCTTGTTGGCGTTGTCACAATCTATGAACAGAGAATTCTAGAACCCCCTCATTGGAACAACAGCTCATAGAGACATGAACTCAGACAATAGGTAGCAGACCATAAAACTGCTCTCCTAGTGTTAGCAGACGGAATCTCCCCATGCCTTTATCACTTACAAAACTATATTGAAACCCCCCAGCTTGCATTTACACCAAAACAAGACAGAAGAGAGATCCACTTTCTACTCCACTGTGGAATTATCATCCATTGGAGACCTTACTCCGCATCCTACCTAAAAATCCTTGAAACTTTCATTGCACCATCAAAAATTGACATATACATCACAGCATCCTTTGATCCTGTCCCTCTCAAAAGACTCTTCCTCTCACACCTGAACAGAACAACACCTTTAACCTCTGAGATTATCTCAAAACAGGAGTCCACATATTAGTTGTCACCCCTTACTGCTGCAATAAGATACAAAGGATAGTTGCTTGCATCTTGCAGTTTTTCAAACTCATGTTTAAAATCGGACATGAGATTCTTGAAGGAAGAAACAGGGAACGTGTATAAAGACAGATCAGAAATGTCTGCAAATTATTTGGAGAATACCAAGACTACAGAAAGGAGATATTTAATTTAGTCATCCGCCACCCTACTGACCACTTTATTGTTACAGAAATCAATACTGAGTTCTGGGGAGTACCCATTTGAGACAATAACTGAATATACTCACAGTACAGACCAGCATCAGGAAAAACACTTTGGCTATATAGACTCTAATAGTACTATAGTTGCAAATATAGTTGTCATAGTGATCATAGCTGCAATAGAAACCCCAACATCTATTCAGGAACAATGTGCTCTTATAGTACTCTTATAGTTGGCTATAGCCTTTTATAGCACTTATAGCATATGGCTGACTATATGAGCTATGAGAGAGCTTGTGGCTGATTTAAAAAAATAATCTCACACACAAGGTTTGAACTCTCAACCTGTTGGTCTGCTTTTTTGCTGACCAATCAATCTACAGCTACATACCACACATTTATCCACTAAAGCATAAAGGCTTACAAAATATACTATACATGTGTAATTATTAACCTTTTATGGACTTGTCATTTTTTTTAACACATTGTCACAACTTATACTTGGATAAAGCATTACTATAAATATGTACTATGGTCTTAACAGCTATATAGGCTATTAGAGCTATAAGAGCTATTATAATGCCTTGGCTAGCTATATAACACTATGCATGTGTGCTTAAACTTATAGTATTATAAAAGCTATAATAGCATTTATAGTAATGCCTCTGCTATATAGCACTATCAGAGCTATAATAGCACAAATAGTATTACCTTTGCTATATAGTACTATCAGAGCTATAATAGCATAAATAGTATTGCCTCTGCTATATAGCCAAAGTTTTTTTCCTGGTGAGAGTTTCACCTACAAAGAGGAAATTATTCTTACATCCCTCCCGTCTCATCCCTGATAGAAGAAAACATCCTCATTGAAAGATCTACTTCTCCAGACATCTCCAACTTGAAAAGTAATTATACCACTAGCTCACAGGTGGAAAGAGACCTAGATGAAGAAGAGAATATTTTTTGGTTTACTTCTACAGATTGGAGCGATGAGTTTGATTACAGTTCAAATTAAATAAACCCTTTTCATCTTTCAACGTGTTTTCTGAATACCGCAACCCAAAGCCACTGATTGAACCAGAGATGCCTCCTAGACATACACAACCTCTACCACCTCAATATCCACCTCCCCCTCCTATCCCACTGGAATCCTCATCCATGTCTAACCCCACCAGACAATTACACAGCAAAGTAACTCTTGCAGCCAAACCCTTTGAATTTAAAAGAGAGAAGGAACAACTTATAGCATGGCACAAAGCACTTCAGTTATCCTTGACTGCCTACACATCCTACTTTCCAGATGAGAAAACAAAGCTCATATACCTCCTGTCCAAAATCAGTG